GGGCGGGTCCAGCAGGTGGGTGAGAGCAGCAGGGTTTGGGCAGCACCGTGGACAGCTCCCGAGCAGCTGTCTCCCTCCATCCTTCCTTTGTTAGGGCTGGATGCCACCCCTTCAGCCCCATCCTTGGGTGGTGGACACCAGGGCCCCAGCCTAACCCGCATCCCTCAGGATCCTGCTCAGAGGAGACCTGAGGGGGAGGCAAGTGGTCCAAGATCCCTACCCCCACCCCTCAAGATAGGCCCCTTCCACACCTGCTCCCATCACTCACCCTAATCACTCACCTGCTGCCCCTCACCATCCCCTGATATTCATTCAACGCCTCCCCTGAAGGACAGAGCTGAGGGAGGGTCTGAGGACTAAGAAGGAGAAGAGATCATGTGATTTGTTGGAGGAAGGGAATGAAGGAGAAGAGATCATGTGATTTGTTGGAGGAAGGGAATAAAAACGGACGAACCACTTGGGAAAGGCCAGAAAGAACAAAGGAGAAATGGGGGCATTCTTAACTTCCAAGGTGTCTTCTTGTGAGGCCCCCTCTCCTCCTCTCCTTTCAAGGGTCTTCTCAGAGTGGCCCTTTCGATGGGCCCTGGAGGTCACAGGAGGCGGACCAGGCCTTAACGCGCCCGGGATGAACACTGGGCACTCACCATGCAGTCACCACCCGCCCCGTGCCCAGCCTGACCCTGTGGCCTGCAGAGCCCCTGGAGGACCCACTCAGCCCTGACCACTAGGGCCCATGCCCGCGACCCATGACCCTTGACATGCCTGGAGAGCTGGCGGGGACACGCCCACACACAGGCAGGCCCCAGGCCAAGCCTTTCTGGCAAAATCCTTCTGAGACCCTCATTCTGAAGGGGCCCCCAAAACACCTAATATCCATTTATTGCAAACGGCCAGCGAGAAGCTGCCCAAAATACCTCATTGACCTCCCGGTGGCCTTGGACCCAGGCCTGGCTTGTCCTGGGGCCCTGACAAGCAGTCTACAGATGAAAGGGCCTCATCGGAACATCCTAAGTTTTTGTTCATTTTATTATTTGCTTCTCAAACTAGGCTTCACCTCGGGGCTGAATGAATTTGTTGGCATAAATCTTTGTTAGAAATGGTCTACACAAATTCAAACCGACACCGCGGAGAGGGGAGAGAGAGAGAGAGAGAGAGTGAGAGAGAGAGGGAGAGACAGCTAGTTGCCATGGCAACCGGAGACCCGGCTTTAATTCCACTCCGTGAGCCACGCACGCTGAGCGCGCACGGAGGCCAGCCTCGCATCCCGTGCCCTCCGGGGCCAGGCTGCACACGCGCGGCAAGGTCACCTCCAGCGCCGGGGGGGTTTCTCCTGATTCCAGGTCTCAGAATCTCACACAATGGCTGGCAACAAGGCAGCACCGAGGCTGTCTACAATGTCCGGGAGAGACGCAAGGCCGGCTGAGATGTCAGCAGCCAGGCAGAGGCTGTTCTCATTCCAGAGATGTCGTGTTTTTATTTATTTTGCAAATAAAGTCTTACAATGTAACATTTCCTTTTTTTTAATATATCTTATTGATTTTATTCAGAGAGGAAGGGAGAGGGATAGAGAGCTAGAAACATCGATGAGAGAGAAGCATCAATCAGCTGCCTCCTGCACACTCCCCACCGGGCACATGCCCGAAACCGAGGCACAAGCCCCTGACCCTTGAGACCGAAGGCTGACGCCCCATCCACTGAGCCAAACCAACCAGGGTGATGTTGAGTCTTTAGAGAACTCCCTGCATGCTCGGGACGGGACCGGACGCTCACCTGGGAGACGGGGAGATGGCACCCGAGCGTCCCAGAGCCGTGCAGTGACGCTCCGTCACTGTGCTGACCACTCCAGATCCTTGGTCTGGTCTTTGATTCCATCCACCGAGAGGCCTTCATCCTCCCCAGGTGTCTCCTGTTCTCCCACCAACAGCCTCAGAGGCCGGGAGGGGCAGAGAGATACCGGGCTCCCCAGCACATGTCCTGGATGCGGGAACCGGGGCTCCGGCCCTCCGGCCCTGCAGGGGCAGCTGGCTGCTCTGTCCCCTGACAAGGTGGGGCCCCAGCACCCAGCCCGGGGCTGAGCCTCAGCAGGGCCCAGCACCCATGGCAGAAAGCCATCGGCCACCCACCCCTGTGTCTGAGTGACTTCCCTCAGAGGGACAAATGGCATCGGCTGTGAGCAAGGGCAGGGCCCTCGTGTCCCAGAGGTTGCAGCTGCCTCTCCTGTGGACACACACCCACATCTGCAGGGCGAAGACTTCAGTGGGGAGTCCTGAATTCATAGAATGTGCCAGAGAGCTGACCTTTCCAAAGAGGAAGTGGGGACCCAGGGCATTAAGGGAAGCCAAGGCAGGCTGCCCACCTTACCCTCCTAACGGCCTCTTCTGTGGGTTCCCAGAGCCACTTCTGCGGGGCGTGGGAAGCCCTGGGTCTGGTCCCAGCCCCCTGCTCTGCTGGGACAGCACACCAAGCTGTGCACAGAGCAGTGGGAACAGCTGGTGATGGCAGGGTCCCAGGTGGCTGCCCCAGCACATGCGCTCTCCTCCCGGACTTGTCCCTGCCATCCTGGGAAGCTGAGCCCCCAGTGGGCTGTTCATGCCTGGCTTCCTGTCATCTCTGGGCGGGAGCCCCTGAGGGCAGTGAGGGGTTGGCCTGTTCACCTTGCACCCTGTACCTGGACAGTCTGGATGGAGGGGGCGGCAGGGGACAGGACATCAGGGCAGAAGCACCATGGAGCCACCCCCACTTCATTCCGAGTGGGTTCCCCACCTCCCTCCCTGTCCTTCCTGTCCCCGGGCCGGGGCCCCCAGAGAGCCCTGGGGAACCAGCCTCGGGGGTTCCCCCCTGACACCCACTCCCTGGCACCTGGAAAGGCCTTCACCTGAGGTTCGGGACTTATCGCAGAGCTCCACAGGGAAGCGTTGGCAGCACCCCACTCAGAGGCAGGGTACCATGAGGCCAAGGGGCCGGAGCACAGAACCCCTCTAATTCCTGTATTCTTAATGCACCATTAAATCAGGCCCTTCAGCCTGGCCCGGGTGGCTCAGTGGTTGAATGTCAACCTATGAACCAGGAGGTCACAGTTCGATTCCCGGTCAGGGCGCATGCCTGAGTTGTGGGCTCCATCCCCAATGTGGGGTCTGCAGGAGGCAGCTAATCCATGATTCTCTCTCATCATTGATGCTTCTCTCTCTCTCCCTCCTTCTCCCAGGGACTCCTGAGCAGGGTCACAGCCTTCTAGATTGAAGGGAAGAGTCATGGGCTCCCCCTCCAGGTCCCCAAGAGCTGAGTACAGGCCCGGGAAGCTTGGGTGGGTCCACCTCACTGCCAACAGGACCCCACTTCCTCCCTCCCCTGGCCCCCTCTGTCTGGGGGGGGGGGGGGGCCTGGGGGCTGGAAGGGCCTGGAAGGGCCAGGGGCCGTGGGGCTGTGCACACCAGCAGGATCGCTGACTCACGCTGGGAGGACTCATTGTGGGTGCACCTCTGTCTGCACATGTTTGGATCCGTGATGTTTTGGCACAAGGACTCTGAAAATTCCTCCCAAACCGATTTCCTGCTCACAGGTCTGTTTTTGGAGCCCTCGGCGCACAGAGCTTTCTTTTACAAACAAAACCGGCAGTCCTCCTGCCTCCGTTCCGGGAGACGTTTTCAGGGGAGCTGTCCGGCTCTGCTGGGCGCGAAGGCAAAGCCTGGCCGGTTGGTTGTCTCTTTAAATCGGCTCTGCAGTGTGATGGGCACGGGAAGAACCATTCCCAGCCTGCGGCAGGGAGCTGGCCACAGCGCCGCCATCCGCCTCCCCCATCCCCATGGTTACGGCTCCTGCTTCCCGCCGGTCCTCTTCCCTGGCTGTCGCCCGCGGAAGCCAGCGAAGCAAGCGCAGAGGCGGCTGGCGTTCCTCGCCCGAGTTCTGGAAGCTGCGTGCTGAGAATCGCACTGCATGTCTGCCGTCCTGGCTCTGACTCACGTCCCCGGCTGCGGTCCTGCAATCTGTTGATAACTCCGCTCGTGAGCCGAGCCAGGGTGCCCGGGCCCTGGGAATGGAGACCTGCTCCCCGGCACAGCGAGCCCCCGGCGGCTCCCCGGCAACAGGCACGGCGCTGCTGCCCCTCCAGCTGTTTTTGCCAAAATAGGTGAGAAGTTGGGGATGGTGTCTCTGGGGTCTGAGCAGTAGGGGGCGGACCTGGGGGGCCAGGGAGCGGCAGGAAGTGGGGGAGGCAAGGTGGGAGCCCGCTGCCCACGGAGCCCATTCTCCGTTTCTCAGGCGTCAGTGCCAACCTGGGTGAGGCGATGCCTGCTCCTGGGAATGCAGATTCCCAATAACTTTGGGTGAAGCTGCGGGCACAGAGCCACGGCCAAAATCTGTGTCTGTGTGGGGAGAAAGCAGCCAGCACCGGAGCCCGCTACATCCACCGGCCAGGGGCTAGTTGTTGGTTAGGAGACTAATTCAAGGTTTACTGGGTTCTCTGGACTTCAGCTGGCAGACGTGTTACTCAGCTCGGTGAGTTCAGCTTCCTGTGCAGGGTGGCGAGCATGGGTGGATTGTTAAATGTGCAGGAGGAAGTGCTCCCCGGAGGGCAGTCTGGCTGCCCGTGGGTTGGGCCAGGCCCCTAAGGCTCCCGAGCCCAGGTGGTCCCCGGACCCTCTGCGTGCCCCTGACAAATGGAGGCCGGAGTCGGAGTCCACAGGCTGGAGGGGCTGAGAGCAGCCGGGATGGGGCAATTCTGGGGGCGCTGGGGCTATGGGGGGGAGAGGACAGCAGGGGGACCCTGCCCTGCCCTGACCAAGGCCCTGTCTTCACAGGTGGGCGCAGCCTCTCCACTCCCACCCGCCCCACCAGAGTCGCCCTGAGGCCCGTAGCCAGGGGCTCGACCCTGTGGCCGCTGTTTCGGGACCTTGACCTTCTGGGCGGCCATGGAGGCTGGCGGGGAGAAAGGCGCGACATAGCTGGCTGACCGGGACACCATCTGCATCCGGGGCGCCCACCTTCAGCCCCTTCACGTGCTCATGGTGAGTCCACACGCTCAGGGGCCGGGGGGGGGGGCGGGGGCACGTCGAGGGCGGCCGCCCTGTGCACAGAGGTCCCGGCCAGGACAGTGAGTTGTCAGGGGGTCAGCCAGCCCGCAGCCAGGCTGGCTGTGCCTGTGCCCAGAGCCCTGGGATGGGGAGGGGGCTGAGGGCCGGGGGGTGGCCATTTGTTCCCAGGCCGTGCGCCTGGCTGCTCGGAGGCTCATACTAATTAGTTGATGGCATGCCGCAATGTTGAATCATTTCATCCGCGGAGGAGACGGCCGCCCTGCGCCCCCACCCCGCGGCTCGGGGCCGCGGGCACCTTCCCTGGCCTCGGGCCCGGGCCCTCCCACTGCAGCGCTGCCCGCCGCTCGCCGCCGCCGGCGGAAAGTTGGCAGGAGCTCAGGGGGACGTGGGTGGGCTTCGGCGGCACGTACACCAGCAAACACGGGGGCGTTCCTCTCGCCGGCAAAGGGGGGCGGCGGCCGCGAGCAGCCCGGGGCGGTGAGGGGGGCTCAGCCTGCGGGCTCGCGTGGCGGCTGCCGGTTCGGACTCCGGAAGGTTGATGCTGATTGAATAATGCAGTGTGTGTGTGTGTGTGTGTGTGTGTGTGTGTGTGTGTGTGTGTGACAGAGAGAGAGAGAGAGAGAGAGAGAGAGAGAGAGAGAGAGAGAGAGGCGGCAGAGCACGTGCAGGGAATGCTGATGACCAGAGGACAGTGCAGCCAGCAGCAGCAGCTGTGGCGTGGACCCCAACTGTGAGCCCCAAATGCAGACCCGGTGGTGGTCTGCTTCCTGAGGAGGGGCTGGTCTGGGTCGCCTGCTCGCTTCCTGTCCGTTAGAAAGGTCCAAACGGGAGGGATGCTTTCCTCCGGAATTCAGCGTCGCTCCCAGGCCGCCCCGTGCCTCGGAAGCTGGCCGGACGCCAGGCGCTCGCCTTTCAGACAGCTGAGAGGTTGCGTGTTTTGGGCACAGGCTGCTCCTCAGAGAGGCAGGCCACTGGCCCGGCCCCCAGCTTCCTAACTGCTCACTTGTTGCCCGTAGGTGCCACACCCAACATGGCTGTGGCCTCCCGGGGGGGTCAGCATCCCTTCCTCAAACGTAGACCCCCGTGTGCCCACGGAGCCTGCCCCTGGTGGGGACCGAGGAGCTGGCAGGCGCCCAGCACTGCCCTTCAGGCCGCCACAGGTGACCGCTGCCTGTTTGCTGAGCTCATCTCCGGTCCCTCTGCCCTTCCATTTCAGGGCAGGGTCTGCCTCGGTCTCTGCCAGAACGCCGGCCCATCCAACACTGAAAACCTCCCGGTTAGCCTTGCCCACAGAGCTTAGATTTCAGCCGTTTGTTGGGGTCTTGTCTTAATAAGTAGCATTTACACCGGAGAGAGTTTCTGACAGGAGAAGGCCCTGCCTCGCATGCAGGGTCGCCATTCAGGTGAGAGCACGTTTCTGTGAGTGTCTGGGTCTGTGGTGCAGGTGCCACGGCAGGCCCATCCCATGGCTCGTGGATCGGAGGGAAGCCTGAAGGCCCAGCCACCGGGCAACCTGCCCCTGGCTGCCCCTCTGGCCACACGTGCAGCTCCTGCGGGGCCCGGGCCGCCCTGACACCTGCGGTCAGCAAGCGGCCACACACGCAAGTTCAACCGCACTGAGTTCGAGGCATCGCTGGGCAGGCTCCCAGGGCCACGCCTCCGTCCAGAACGGGCTGCTGTCTGTCCGGCGCTCAGGCAGGGTCTGAATGCCCAGGTGCTGCCCCCGGAGGCCTGTGTCTGGCAGCTGACGCCCAGGCCGCCATCACCCTGCATCTTCACCCCAAGCAGACGTGGGCTGGCCTGTCCCTGGCTGCTGCGGCAGGGATTCCAACGGCAGCAGGTTCCCCGCGCTCATCACTTTGTGTCCTATCATCTTCCGTGACCTTCACCCTGAGCTAGGGGACCGCCTCCCCTCAGGGAACAAAGTGGCCGGCTTTGGAAGCAGAGGAAAAGGTTGTCCAAACCTTTGCACTGTCCCTGTCCCCTTCCTGAGGAGCCAGAGGAGGAGCAGGGGCCGTGGCCCAGCTGAGGGCTCTGTGTTCTCAGCCCCTGCGCTCTGGGTGGGAGTGGCGCAGGGAGAGGCCTGGCGTGGGGGGTGCAGCCGCCTGCTGGCACCTCCAGTCACAGTGGCATCAGGTGGCGCTGAGGGTGAGCTCCCTGTCCCTGACCTGCAGGTTCCAGTGGCACTAAGGCCACCCGGTCATTCGGGATGGTCCTGGCCCAGGAGGGCTGGGGCTCTCGTGCAGAGCCCAGCAGAGCCCCCCACGTGCTCCGAATTCAGGGCTGGAATCAGTGTTATCGGAGCGTGCTTGGGGACATCCCGAAAGCCCTGAAGCCAGGACAGGGCGAGAGGCCAGTCCTGCCCCGGCCGTGCTTGGAATCGGAGACACACGACATGCTCAGGGTTCCCTTTATCCCACGGCTGTACCCCACATTCAAGCAAGGGAATTAAAACCCCCAAAGCGATCAGGCTAGGCATGGGGCAGGGTGCTCGGGAGGCCAACAGGGAGGGAACCGCCGGTTGTCTGAGCCGAGGACCTGGGCCCAGAGCTGCTCGGGACGCTCCCAGCGCTCAGTCGCCCAGTCGCCCAATCTGTCAGGGGGTCACTCCCACTCCAAACGCATTCTCTAGGCCAAGCTTGGAACCCCCCTCCCACGCCACCCCAATCCCCTTTCCACACACACACACACACACACACACACACCCCCGCCACCGCCCGCACCTCCAGCCTCGCCTGCTGCAGACACTTGACTTCGGTGAGTGCTCTCCATTTGTGCTTTCAGTTCTGCCCGATATTTGCACTTCTAAACACTCGTGAAACACCCTTCAGTCTACAACTGGAGAGTGTCCCCCCCTCCACACGCGTCCCCTTAAGCAAGGGACGCCCAGTCAGAAGCAGCGTCCCCGAGACGCTTTGCTCTGTTCTCGCCGAAGCTCTCCGAAGCCGACCAGCCCACACGCCTCCAAAAGGAAACGGAACAAACATGTAAATGCAACGTCCAATTAGGGTAATTTGTGCTCCGAATGAATAAATTACTTATCTTTTTCCTCTGCCTTTCCCCCGGGAACACTCTGATGAAAGGTTGACAGATCAATAAGATGCAATTATCATTAAAAAGGCGACCAGGGACAGCAGGCGCTAATGAAATCAGCCTCGGTTAGAACAGAACCGTGAGGGAGGGCATCCGAGGGGACTCCACCGAGGGGACGGGGTGCACACATGGTCCGCACACACATATGTCTGGCGTGGACCCCTCTCCACTAAAGGCCGATGTTGGAGCAGACAAGTGGCACGTGACCTGGCTGACTCCCTCCTCCTTTCCTCTTGTTCTCAATGTCCTGATTTACTTGGTTTGCAGAACGTACGGAAAGGACCCTTGCAGCTCAGACAATAACATAATGCAAAAGGAACGTAGGCCTCGGGAAGTGGGAACAAAAAACAAACCCGAAGCTCAGGCCTCCACAGAGAAGAGAGACCTCCTGGGAGGATGCAAGCCGGTGTCTGAGGAGGAGACGGCTGCTGGTCCTGCAGGCCCGGAAGTGACCAGGAGTCACAGCTCCCACTCCCATGGGGCTGAGAGGGGAGGGTCCCTCATCCTCCCCTCCTGGCTCCCTAGCCTTTCTGCTGTGCGGTCAGGGCTCCACCCACGGTTGCTGGTCCAAAGGGCACTGCTGGGGCCATGGCCTAGGGCCGTGGTCGGCAAACTCATTTGTCAACAGAGCCAAATATCCACAGTACAACGATGGAAGTTTCTTTGGAGAACCAAATTCTTTTTAAACTTAAACTTCTTCTAACGCCACTTCTTCAACATAGACTCGCCCGGGCCATGGTGTTTTGTGAAAGAGCCACACTCAAAGGGCCAAAGAGCCGCATGTGGCTCACGAGCCTCGGTTTGCCGACCATTGGCCTAGGGGGACTTGTCTGTTGACCACATACCAACAACCGTCAGGATCTGCGGGTGGAACGCTGGCAGAGTGGATTCCTCCAGGAGGAACTTGTACATGCGTGAACTTTAAAACATAAAGCGTGTCTCCGTTTTGCATTGCCTACTTTGAATTTTAAATGTCACCTCTAAAAATGTAGAAAGGCACTGCTGAGAACTCTGATTTGGAGGAAGGAAAAAGAGAGGAGGCCAAAGGGAACGGATTGTTTCTTATAAATACCCACGGTGGCTGCCGCTGGGAGCCTCAATCCTGGGCCCTCAGAGGAGGGGGGAGCACCTAAAGGCGGGGTGACCTCTGGCCGGTGAACCCCGCCTGGGCGCACCCTCACGAAATGTCTCTGCACCTTGAATAGTGCGGGTGCTGCCGCCGGGGTGTCCCTGTCACCTTGAGGCTGGCACCTCTTGGCGCTCATGGTTTCGTGGGGATTTGGACGAGGGCACAGCATGTGTCCTGCTGGAGCCCGTGCCAGGCGGATGGGAGTCAGTGCTGCTCTGTGCATGCGCACACCTGCCCTTCAGACGTCCCAGGGCATGGACGGCGCAGACCGAAGCGTGGGTGCCACCGTGGTGTCCGGCCCGCGGTCTGTGGAGAGTCACAGCACCCTCCCTCTGTCACGTCTGGTCATCTTCTTAGCCTGGGCCAGGGTGCTGTTTCTGGCCTCAATTGCCAACCAGGTCCCTTGGTGTCAGACCGTGAAGAGTCTCCCTGGCGTCCGCTGGCTTTTATGGGAGGTCTCTCTGCTGTCATGGCAGCAGCTGATGGGATCCAGTCAGGGGGGAAATCCACCAAGGACTGTCGGAGCCCCATAAAGATGGCCAGCGGGGCCGCCCCGACAGGGTGAAGCCACGCGTGGGCAGCCCACGAGGCGTGGTTCCACCCGCTGAGCACTCACCTGAGCAGGGTCTTCCCCAGCAGGGTGCGAGCCGCTGCTGAGACCCGGCAAAGGCCCCCAGATTCCGAAAACGCCTCCAGGGACTGCAGGGAGGGGCTGGGCCCTGCCACACATACGGTTCTCAGCCAAGTCGCTCACGTGGGTCTGCTCTGTGTTCCTTCCAGGATTTGAAGAGTGTCCTCTCCCTGCCCCAGCACCCAGGGGAGTTCCTGCACCCCGTGGTGTACGCCTGCACGGCCGTCATGCTGCTCTGCCTCCTCGCCTCCGTCATCACCTACCTCATGCACCAGAAGTGAGGCCCCCCTCTGCCCTGAGACACCCCGCTTCCCCTCCTCGTGCAAACCCCAAAACTCCTACCCTCATGGAGCACGAAGTCCCTGGAAGGCACTTCACAGGTGGCCAGCCAGCTTGAGCCTGCCCAGCCTGGGTGGCCTTGGGGGTGACTGGGTGTTGGGGACAGCCAAGCACCTCCATCCCCAGTGTCCATGTTCTTATCAAAGAACATGTGAAGCGAGTTCTTCCTCCAACAGCACAACGTCTGCTCAGGCGCCCGAGGGCCGTGTCCTTGGGAAGTTGGAGTAGCTGGCAGACCCTCAGGCATTTTTTTTTCCTAGAAAGGGGAGTTTAGTCAGGTCTCTTCTGAGCCGGTTTCCTCTGCCTGGGAGTGAGGAGATGACCTGGCTGTGTCCCCATCCCTTGAGGATGCCCTGGGGACTGTGAGGAGGAGCCATGGTCAGGGTCTAGCCCACAATGCAAGTCATGGGCAAAGCCTGGGCTGTGGCAGAAGCACCGAACCTCCTTCATGGGAAGAGACGTGGGGAGGATACACGGCCACGGAGGGCTGTGGCCACAGGCACGGCTGTCAGCATAGGCTAGGTCTGTGATAGGCAAACCGCGGCTCGTGAGCCACATGCGGCCCTTTGGCCCCTTGATTGTGGCTCTTCCACAAAATACCACGGCCTGGGCGAGTCTATGTTGAAGAAGTGGCGTTAGAAGAAGTTTAAGTTTAAAAAATTTGGCTCTCCAAAGAAATTTCCATCGTTGTGCTGTTGACTAATGAGTTTTCTGACCACTGGGCTAGGTAGTCTCAGTCGTGGCCGTAGCAGTGTTTGAGCACAGTCACAGTACGGGCATGGCGTTAGGGGTCGCCACGTAGTGGGTCACTGTCACGGCCTCCCCTCCAGGTTATAAGAGATTTCTCAAAAGCCCTCCCAGTCCTCCTGCTCCAAGGGGATTTAACACCAAACCCACCAGCCACACACTGAGGGTGGACTCTGCACGGTCTGTCCGTCTTTCCCTCGATCTGGTCCTTGGGGTGTGTCTCTGCCCAGAGGTCTGCCCGGTTCCCACGCGGACAGACGCAGGGGAAGGGCTCATGCCCACTCTGCTGAGGGGCGGGTCCCTGACGACACGCCTGTGTCTCCCCAGCGCCATCCGGATCAGCCGCAAGGGCAGGCACACGCTCCTGAACTTCTGCCTGCACGCAGCCCTGACCTTCACGGTGTTCGCCGGGGGCGTCAACCGCACCAAGTACCCCATCCTGTGCCAGGCGGTGAGTCTCCCCTCACCCGGTCTTCCTCTGCTGTAGATCGCCAGGGACTCATCGCCTCTCCCGCCAAAAGGGACGCTTGTGGTCATTGTCTTGGGTATAAAATCCTATTTGAGTATCTGTTCGGGTGTTTCTCAGGAATGGGTGCGTCCAGCGTCCAGTGTGTCCGTGTTGCAGACCCAGGTGAGTCTAGTTATTTTGCTCAGCATTCCATCATATAAATAACTAGAGGCCCAATGCATGAAATTCATGTAGGGGGGCGGCCCCTCAGTCTGGCCTGCACCCTCTCACAGCCTGAGAGCCCTTGTTCCTTCCTTCTGCTCGGCTGGCTGCTCCTTAGCGCTGCCACAGAGGCAGGAGAGGCTCCCGTGGCCGCCACCACCGCTGCACTCGCCAGCTGTGAGCCCAGCTTCTGGCTCAGGGCAGGGGCAGCTCCTGCGCTGAGCATCTGCCACCTGGTGGTCAGTGAGCATCATAGCAACAAGTCGTTTTGCCATTTGGTCCATTTGCATATTAGGCTTTTATTATATAGGATGTATTTTTCATTTGGACAAACTCACTCCAAGGCTTGTGATGGCCACAAGCTGATGAGAAGTCCACTGCCCCACAAATAGGGCTTGTCCAGGAGCAGGGGCCTGCCCTGTGGAGGCTGGTGGGGCAGGAGCAGGGGACGAGCCACCTGCTCCCCCATCCAGGTAAGAATCCCAGGATGCTAAGCCGAGACTCGTAATCAGGCAATAGAAACTGTCACCAGTGGGCTGCCACGGAGTCCGGGCCACAGAGACACGTGTGGAGGCCACGGAAGAGTCTGTTCTGCCCCCTCTCGGGTGAAAAGGGAGAAACGTAAACGAACGCTTCGGCTCCTGACAGGGTTCAGAAGAGGCCCTTCCACAGCCCACAGAGCATCCCCAAAGGACACTCCTTCGGTTTCTGTCACTTAGAGCCCCGCGGAGGGAGCCGTGGCAGTGGCCCCCACGGGGATGTCCAGCTGCTCTCCTTACAGCCTCGGTGGCTGTGAAGCCATCACCGATGTCTGTGCTGCCGCAGCCTCGCCACCTGGGACCTGGAGCACCGGTGCTGACCTCGGTAGCTGTCCATCCACGTGAGGTGACCTGTCCACCTGCACAGACTCACCCTGGGGACCGGCCGGTGAGATGCTGCTCACCCAGAGGCACCTCAGGGAATAATCAGGCTGTCAGCTCTGGTCCTCCACGCCCACCTGCCCTAAGGAAGGCATCCGGCCTATGAGACAGCGCCTGCTCCAGAGCCCTGGTGCCCGGGGCCCAGCCCCCAGGCTCCGGTGAAAGAAACGCCATTTTTCTGTGACTCGGTGTCAAGATGAGCCATCCAACACCAACCTGAACAGCACAATGAGGGCAGACCTGCCTCCTCTCGCCTCCCCACAGGCATGGGAACCACTGAGGCGAGCGCCCAGGGAAATCCAATTTGCACTCCGCCTGCAGTGCTGCCAGGGAGTGGAGCCGTCCAGAGGCGGGGCGGGGACTGTTACCCTTATGTCCGCACGTCTCCACGGGAGGGCCACGAGCCGGGCCCTGTGCGGAGGAGCCGCCAGAAACACGGTGGTACAGCCACCCCCATCCCCTCAGAGGCCCAGCCATCATGGCACTGAGGAGCCCTCACCCCTTGGAAAACCTGGGAGCCATCTGTGTCTGCTAGCCATCCGCATGGCACCCAGGGCCTGGCCGGGGGGCACGGTAGGTGGGGCAGATGAGACCTAGGAACACCCACCGAGGTAAGACCTGTAGAAATCACGTTTGTGTGAGAAACGCTCGGTTCTCTCGTGGTGAGAGCAGTAGGACCTGAGCTCCGCAGCAGATGCTGTCCTGATCTCCCCACCACCTTGCCAGAAGGCATCAGGGCACCATTCATTCATTCACTCATTCATTCACAAAATGCATTGGGGGCCTGTGCGTGCTGTGGGTGCAGCCAAGATCAAACCTACCGGCTCCCCCGCTGTGTGGACCTGCCTCCCAGGGGCGTGTGGACAGCAGTGGCCTGCCCGGCATGTCAGGGAAAACGAGCTGCAGAGCAGAGCGGGGCCAGGCTCGCCCGGCGGGCGTCCCTCCTCCACGCACTGCAGGAGGAGACCAGGAGGCACAGGGAGGGGTGATGGCTACTTCATGCGTCCCTTTGACGGGTCCCTGGGCACCCAGGCCTGTCAAACATGCTTCTGGGTGCATCTGGGACCGTGTTTGGGGCGAGGCGGGTGGAGTGGAGGGCCATCCGAGGTATCGGTGGCCTTGTCCAATTGCGGGGGTCTGAACAGAATGGAAGTTGAGTGAGAAAGCCCTCCGTCTCCAGCCTTTGGATGCAGACACAGACCGGGTCCCATCACCCTTCTCCGAGGGCAGATCTGGGGTTTCCTGGGCCAATCCGTTATAGGCAGCCAGGCGGGCCCCTACCTTGACCAGTGACCCCTACCCACGACCCTGGTGCCCAACACAGGACCCTCCGGCCAGCCTTCCCTGTCCAGTGTCGCTCTGGGTGACAGTGAGTGATGGACGAGAAGTGGTCCAAGCTCCGAGTGGCAGAGAGAACTGACGGTTGTCATGGCAACAGAAAATGACCGGGCGCCTCGTTAGAGTACAAAGTGACATCATGCACACAGACAGACGGCCGGCGTTGTCCTCCCATGATGGGTGTGCGTCAGGGCTGCCCTGGGCCCAGAAGCGTGGGGTGGCGCTAGGGTGCTGCCGTCTGGAAGCCGGGGCGGGGTCCCCGTGACCTCTCCATCTGTCCAATCGAGAGCCAGGGGATATGGTTCCCCATCCTGCTTCTCCTGGTGCCGAGCTGGCCCCCTGGCTTCCCAGCGCCTCCCCGTCAGCCAGGTGGGTAAGGCCACGTATATGGAATGCAGCGGACACCGATGGAGGCCGGGCCGAGGAAAAGGCTGGATTCACCCACGTGCAGGAGCTTCTCCAAAACCGGAAATACAGTGCTGGGGTTCACCCCCCTCCTCGATGCTCTCATCCATTGCTATGGAGTCTTCTCCTAAGTAGCACGGAACGCTGCACTTGACAAACCGTTGTGATGGCGCCATGCCAGCTGTACTCAGAGAACCCCTGCGTTCCCTAAACATTTATGTCCTTCCCAGTGAGAGCCATATTTCACCTGTCATGGTGAAGTGTCAGGCTATCACTTCAAAGGTAACCTCATTCTCTGGAGCCGGGTGGAGACAGCGTGGACTGCGTGATTAGCTAATGCAGTAAGTGCTGGCAATGGGAGGGACCTGGCGCTGTTTCCATAGTAACAAGCAACTCTTGACTTACAGGGAGGGGACTTGGGCATCTGATCCAGAAGGTGCAGATCTCGCGGGCAGTGCCAAAAACACTGGCATCGGGGAGACCACTGCTGCACGCCACACCACCACTCCTGGTGGGCTCCTGTGTGTGGAGGGCCCAGCACTTGGAGCTCTCTGAGTCCCTGCCTGGGTCACACCCACCACAGGGACCCGTGTATACTGGCCCCATTGCCAGAGGGTGTGCGTGCTGCTGGTAGCCGGCCCCCAGGTGGACGCACAGGCCCACGGGCTCCCCGCCGGTCCCTCTGCAGGAGAACCGAGCTGCTTTGAGCTAACATACCTGCACCTCTTTGCAGCCGAGGGGTCTCCCTTGAGCTCAGGGACCCCTGTGACGTGCAGTGTTGTGGGAACCAAGGACCCTGGTGCCTCCAGCAGCCTCGTTTCTTGTCACTGCTGAGCTGCCTCCTGGGGACACAGGGGGGCAGGAGGGCCGGATGGCTCTGGGACATGCAGTGGGGAGGAGGTCAGGGAGGTCAGTGCACTGGCGGGCAGCAACTGACCTGTCTCCCCTGCCCCCCAGGTGGGCATCGTGCTGCATTACTGCACGCTCTGCACCATGCTGTGGATCGCTGTGACCGCCAGGAACATCTACAAGCAGGTGACCAAGAAGGTCCCACCCTGCCCGGGCCCAGACCAGCCACCGTACTCCCAGAAGCCCCTGCTCAGGTACCCGAGTACATTTATGTCCCTCCCCTCCCCCAGGCTCCGGGAGTCCTGCCCCTGATGCTGGGATCTAAGCAAAGCGGCTCCCAAGGACACGTGTGGCCCTGGAAGGATGTGGCCGGGGTTTGGGGGTGCTCGGTTGGGGTGGGGGCGTCCGGAGGAGGCAGGGAGCTGGGGCTAGAGCCTGGCCAGCAGGTCTGGGCCAGTGTGTCTGTCCAGTGTTGCTGAGCTCCACGCCGTGGGGGCCGTGGTCACAATGGGGTCAGTAGTGCCCTCCGTTACTCACGGGTCTCTGCGTTAAGAGACCTGCTCGTTAGCTGGGGAAACCGAGGCAGCTCGGTTGCTGAAACTGCTGGTTTCAAGCAGTTTGTCTGGGGCTCACTGGCTTTGAGCACGCAGCTTTCTCCAGGAAGATTTGTCACCAGTCTAGGCCGGTACCGTCGTCAGGAGCCGTGGCGGGAAGCTGAGGGAGCATGCCAAGATGAGACGGCGATAGTGGGTTAGCTCAAAGGCCAGGGTGAGAAGCTTGTCTCAGGGTGTCCACAGACTGCGGGGGACAGCGGTGCTCACAGCGGGGACCGACTCCGCGTTCTCCCACGGGAATGTCACCCCACCCCACTTACTGATCAGACCCCCACCCCCACGGCCGGAGACCAAGAGTCCCTGTGCCCAGGGCCAGCCCTGGCTCCTGTGCCGCCCCGCGGGGACCCCGTGGCCAGCCAGCACGTACCCCATGCTCTTCCTTCCTCCCGAGTGCCTGCCTGCACGCCCCCACCCTGTGTGTGCCCAAGATCACTGTCGGGGCAGTAGTTGGAGTTTCATCAAGATGCAGATTCACTGGCTCTTTCTAGAAACTGTCCCCTGACAGAAGGAGGAGGCTGCCCGACCCTACGGTCAGGTGAGCTCCTGGCTGGGCTGTGCGGGGACGGGAGGGCATGAAGCCTGTGTCCTAACGTGTCTGAGCTCTGCTGGCAGCTGTGTTAGTGGGAACAAAACAGCAACCCCACCGAGATCCAAATGGGATCCAATGTCATATGAGCACAGAGATGGGCTGTGACTGGGGGCCCCCAAGGCAGGTGCCAACCTCACTGCAGAGGACGTGGCTGGAGCCAAGGGGCACGTGAGGCTGGTGCAGAGGGGCCACCTCCACCAGGAAGCGATCCCTGGCCCAGGGCAGGGGGCTCCACACCTCGGACCACCCAGCAGCGGCAGCAAGAATAGCTGTTCACGCGGAAACCGGTTGTCTCAGTAGATAGAGCGTCGGCCTGCGGACTGAAAAGTCCCAGGTTCGATTCCCAGCAAGGGCATGTATCTTGGTTGCGGGCACATCCTCAGTAGGGGGTTTGCAGGAGGCAGCTGATCGATGATTCTCTCTCATCGATGTTTCTAACTCTCTATCCCTCTCTCTTCCTCTCTGTGAAAAAAATCAATAAAATATATTTTAAAAAATAAAATAAAATAGCTGCCCAGGCCTCCAGCGCCCTCTGCTGTCTGAGCCTGGGCTGCACCCAGGAGCTGTGCTCAGCCCCTGTTCCCGAGGGCGTGGCTCCAGGGCTCGGAGTGACTTGAGCTGGAACACTCAGGGAAAAGGCAGAAAAGAGGCAAGAGAGGGCCTGGTCAGAGGTGACAGGGGCCCTGAGCACTTCACCCTGCAGGACGCACTGCCAGGAAGGCGTGGGCCGCAGAGCATGGCAGCACCTCTCCAGCACCCAGGGCCACGCTGCCCGAGACGGGAGGGACTGGACCTGCCCAGCACTTGGCAGCCTCTACAGCTCCACTCACTGGAGAGCCTGTTGGTCCCACAGGGACAGTCTGCAGCCATCAGAAAGGGAGAGCATTCGACAGCAATGCATGGGCCAGGGCACACGGTCCCCCAGCTGGCCACAGCTTAGCAATGTGGCCCCTTCTCCCCCACCCGGCTGCCAGGGTGACATCTGTGGGCTGGCCTGGGCCACGGGGCCAATGGGGACCACAGGCTTGTTTTATCCTCTCCGTGAAGTCCTACATGTCACTCGGTAATTTACTGTCAGAGATGTGGAATGGGGGAGAATGTCAGGGGATTTACATTCTTTTTCTTTCTTTTTTTCTGAAATAGTCTTTATTTCTGAACAGGGATTTACATTCTTAATGTCCTTGTCTGGTTTGGATACCAATCTCAGACTGCATCAGGGGGTACCCCACCCCCCTTGTTTCTGGAGGAGCCTACATAAGACCCGGTCGACCCTTCCTTAGGCATGACCCACGGGACCTGTTAGACGCCTGAGGATCTTGAAGTCGAACTTCTATTAGACACAGAGTATTCAGGCTTTCTATTTCCTGTTTCCATTTTGGTGATTTGTTGGGTGTGTTGGGTTTTGTTTTGTTTTTTCCCCAAAGAATTTATCCATTTCATCCACGTTGCTGAATCATGCACATACCCTTGTGTGTCATATAGCGATGCTCCTCTATTTAAGATGGAGTTTCATCCTGGTAAACCCATCATACGTTGAAAATATCGTTCAATCGAAAATGCATTTAACACACCTAACCTATGCGCATCATAGCTTCGCTTAGCCCACCGTACAGATGCTCAGAACACAATACCCCAAAACGCTGGGAGCACAGCGCACTGCCGGCAACGGGCTGGTACCTCCGTGATCACGCGGCTAATGGCAGCCTCCACTCACGCTGCACTCAACATCACGAGAGAGCCTCGTCCCACATATCCCCAGCCGGGGAAAGATCAGAAATTCAAATTTCAAGCACAGTTCCTGCTGCCTGTGTTTCCCTTTCACAGCATTATAAAGTTGGGAAATTGTAAGTAGAACCATCCTAAGTCAGGACCATCTGCTCTCTGACTCCTTGGGTGCTTGTGGGATGGGGGATGGACACTGCAATTTGTTCTCTCTCTTTTCTTGATCAGCCGACTCGGGCTATGTAGTTTTGTTCATGGTTTCAGGAAATCAACTCTACATTGGTAATTTTCACTACTTTCCTCTTTTTTTTTTTTTAATGGAAATGTAACTGACATAAGATTAATAGTTTCAGATGTAGGACATAATGTTCGTGTATATTGCGAACACCACAATAGGTCTCGTTGACATCCATCACCCACATAATTACTACTTTTGTTCTTGTGATCAGAATATTTAAGAGCCATTCTCTTAGCAACTTTCAGAGATACAGCATAGTATTACTATCATCATTGTGCTGTACATTACATGCAGGACTTTTTTTTCTTTATCTCTGCTCCTATCTTTATTCTCTCCTTCTTCCTGCTCTTTTCCATTTACTTTGATTTTTTTATTTTCTGCCTTGCTGAGGTGGAATCTTATGTCAATGAACTTTAGACCTTCCTTTTTTCTCACAGATGCAGTCGTAGCTATGAATGTTCCTCTGAATCCTTCTTTAGCTGCACCCCAGAAATCTTATATTGTATTTTCTTCCTCATTCTGTTTAAAATCATTTCTAAATTCCCTTTTGATTTCTCCTTTGATCCATGAATTATTTAGAAGTGCATCCTTTCATTTCCAGATAGTTGTGATTTTCCTTACTGTCATTAATTTGCAACTTAATTTCATTGTGATCAGAGAATATACTCTGTATGCTTTCCATCCTTTTAAATTTATTGAGATGCGTTTCTTGATGTCATCTGTCATGATGAACAGACTATGTGCACTTAAAAAGAACAAATGTTGTGCATTTATTGGTTGTGATGTTCTAGAAAGAATAATTAGGGCTAAATGAGTAACAGTGTTGTTCAGATCTTGTTTCTTTACTGATTTTTTTTTTAAACTACTTGTTCTCTCAATTGCTAAGGAAGGGGAGTTAAAATCATCAACTATGATTTTTGAGTTGTCTATTCCTCCCTTTAATTTTGTCCATTTTGCTTCATGTAGTTTAAATCTTTTCCTAGGTACCCACATATTCATGGTTGCCATGACTTCCAATAAACTAACACTGACATCATTACAAAATGTCCCTCTTTATCTTATTTTTCTTAAACTCTGCTTTATCTGCTATTAATGTAACCACTCCAGCCTTCTGGGGTCACGGTTTGTGTGGGCTGCTTTTTCTATCCATTAGCTTTCCATCTCTCTGTGCCTTTGTATTTTAAATGCTTCTGTTGTAGACAGTAAGTAGCTTGCTTTTTTGTTGCTATTAATCAGTTCTGGCAATCTCTGCCTTTGGAGTTTTTAGTCCATTAAAATTTAATGAAATTTTCATTTTGTTGGATTTACATCTCCATTTCACTATTTGTTTTCTGTTTTGCTTTTTTTTGTTGTTGTTGTTAATCCTTACCAGATGATATATTTTCCATTTATTTTTAGACAGAGTGGAAGGGAGGGGGAGAGACAGAAACATCAATATGAGACACATTGAGTGGTTGCATCCCACATGAGGATTGAGCCTGCAACCAAGGTACATGCCCCTGATCAAATAGAACCCAGGACCCTTCAATCCATGGGCCGAAGCTCCAACCACTGAGCCAAACCAGCTAGAGCGTTACGTCCTTTTTTTTTTCTTCTGTTCTTCCTTTCCTCTTCTATTTCCTTCTCTTGGATTATTTTAACATCTTAAATTTTTTTATTTTATCTCTTAGTGTTTCGCCGACTAATTTTTTGTGGTCGATTCAGGGATTTAAATCCACGGCCTCTTCACAGCCTGTTCAGTGTGAAAGGTCTGTTATTTCATGTAAACTGCATTAGAAACCTTGCAACTGAATGGGGACCCTCTCCCCTCCCACCAGGAGGGGAGGCTGGAGACGCCGTATACACTGAGTGGCCAGATTATTATGATCTCTGAACGCGTAATAATCTGGCCACTCAGTATATTCATATATATATTAGAGGCCCAGTGCATGAATTTGTGCATGGGTGGGTTCCAGCCAGCCTGGCCAAGGGGAGGAGACATGGGCGGTTGGCCGGCCTGCCTGCTGGTCAAACTCCTGGTTGAGGGGACAATTTGCATATTAGCCTTTTATTATACAGGCTATACACTGAGTTGCTAGATTATTATGCATTCAGAGATCATAATAATCTGGCCACTCAGTGTATATTACCCCTAAACTTCACAAATACCACAGCCATATGTGTTATATAGAAGTTAGGCGGGAACAAAATATTTTCTATTTACCTTACTATTTAGCATTTGTATGTTCTTGCTTCCTCCAAGTGTCCTTCGGGTACAATAACCCTTCAGCCTGAAGGCCTTCATTTAGCATTTCTTGAAGTCAGCTGGACACTTGGTTTTATTTTTACTACAATCTGTCTTTATTTCTCCTGGAGAAATAAAGGGTGTGTTTCTGGATATAGAATTCTAGGAGGCAAAGTCCCTAGCGGTCACCACACGTGACCAGAGGCGGGGTCATCCAAGGACCCAGGACCCGAGTCAGTCTCCTCTTTGGGGCCTGGCCAGAGCCATCTCTGCAGGGCGCAGCAGCCAGCGAGCTGGGGGTGCGGAGAGTGGGCAGAAGAGAGGCCAGGCCCTGGCGATAACCCCCTAGTCAGCAGGGCTGGTGCTGCCCCTGCCTGACAGCTGCTTGGCCAGGACCCCTGGGCTACACTCTCTCCTTTGCCCTGAAGGTGGCGCTGTCCTTGGGGGGGACCCAGTTGGGCTCAAAGGTCAGTGAGTGACCTCCTGCTCTCCGGCAGGTTCTACCTCGTCAGTGGAGGGGTTCCTTTCATCATCTGTGGAGTCACGGCTGCCACGAACATCAGGAATTACGGGACGGAGGGCGAGGACTCAGCACAGTGAGTACGGCACCCAGGGGCTGAGGGAGGGAGGCCCTTGAGGCTCCCATCGCCCTGGCTGCAGGTGCCCAGGACAGCAGCGCCTCCTCTGATCACAGACACTCACAGACGACAGGCTGCAGTGGCTGGAAATGCCCACCAGAGAGGGCAGGAGTCCTGGGCTGCCCAGCCTGTCCCCAGGTGCCCATGAGGCGACAGCACAAAGCCTGGTCACTTAAAGCTGTCCTCCTCCCCAACGGACCCAGTTTCCCCCAGGAACCGAGGGCCAGTTCGTGGAGATGGGAGAGGCCTGGGGGACCAGTAACTCCGAGGCAAGCAGAGTGGACCCAGCTGTGCACAGGAGCCGAGCCAAACTCCACAGGCCCTCCCTACGCGTCCAGGCCAGGGCACCTCACTGACCCTCCCCCACAGGACACTGCCTCCCACCCCCCGCCCCACAGGCTCCAGGGTCCGAAACACCCCCCAACCTTGGCCCTCCAAAGCAGCCCGAGTGCACCAGGATGGCCCTGGAGGGCAGGATGGGGCCCCTGTCCATCGCCTGACCCTGAGGCCTCCTGTTGGCTGTGCTCAGTAATGACTGCCATGGGCACCTCAGGTGCAGGCAGCACAGCCAGCTCTGGGCTTTCTCCCCACAGCCACCCCCTCATGCCCTGGGAAACGCCAGTCTCTCCCCCGTTCACAGCAGGGCCAGGCTGGGCTCGGGTCACGGCACAGCCCCCCGCGGGCCCTCGGGGTCCTGGAGCCGTCTCCCCCCACGCCCTCACCAGCTCCTCCTCCTCCTGCTCTCCCCTCCTCCCCCCACAGCTGCTGGATGGCCTGGGAGCCCAGCCTGGGCGCGTTCTACGGGCCGGCGGCCTTCATCGCCCTGGTCACCTGCGTGTACTTCCTGGGCGCCTACGTCCAGCTGCGGCGGCACCCGGAGCGCCGCTACGAGCTCAGGGAGCGGCCGGACGAGCAGCACCGGCTGACGGGGCCGGAGGCCGGCAGCCACGGCGCCAGGGCCCCCCCGGGCGCGGCGCCCGCCTGCGCCACCCTGGCCGCCTCGCTGCTGCAGAACGAGCACTCGCTCAAGGCCCAGCTGCGGGCCACGGCCTTCACGCTCTTCCTGTTCACGGCCACGTGGGCCTTCGGGGCCCTGGCCGTGTCCCAGGGCCCCTTCCTGGACATGGTGTTCAGCTGCCTGTACGGAGCCTTCTGCGTCACGCTGGGGCTCTTCGTGCTCATCCACCACTGCGCCAAGCGGGACGACGTGTGGCACTGCTGGTGGTCCTGCTGCCCCTCCCGCCAGGACGCCCCGGCCTCCGCGCTCGGCGCCCACCACACGCTCGACGCCAACGGGGACGCCCTGGGGCACGCCGCCTGCCTGCAGGACTCGCCCTGCGCGGGCAAGCCCCGGGGCTACGGGCACCCGCCCGGCGGCCACTGCAAGATGACCAACCTGCAGGCCGCCCAGAGCCACGTGGGCTGCCTGTCCCCGGCCACGCCCTGCTGCGCCAAGATGCACTGCGAGCAGCTGCTGGAGGACCTGGGCCACGTCCACCTGCGCGAGGAGGACGCGTTCGGCCACGACCTGCACCTGCACCGGTGCCTGCAGGGCAGAACTAAGCCCCCCTACTTCGGCCGGCACCGGGCGGCCGAGCAGGAGTACGCCTACCACATCCCGTCCAGCCTGGACGGCAGCCCCCACAGCTCGCGCTCGGACAGCCCCGCCAGCTCGCTGGAGGGCCCGGCGGGGATGCACGCGCTGGCCTGCTGCGCCCAGGGCGACCCCTTCCCCCTGGTCAGCCAGCCCGAAGGCGGCAGCATCAGCCCCACGCTCTACGGCTGCGGCCCGCGGGCCGGCAGGGAGGGAGGCCGCGGCCCGGCCCACTTCGAGATGCTGCAGAGGACACAGTCCCTGCCCTTCGGGGGCCCCGGCCAGAACGGGCTGCTCAAGGGTGACGTGTGCGAGGCCGTGCCTTACGGTGCCGACTGCACAGGCAACATCCGGACGGGGCCCTGGAAGAACGAGACGACGGTGTAGCCGCCGTGGCCCCCGCCCCCCGCCCCGGGCGAGCGTCCGAGCGGAGCAGGGACCCCCTCCACGGGAGGTCGGCGGGGTCACCGGGTGCGACGGAGCGACGGGCATCCTCGCTGGCCTCCGGTGATGAAGGACTCAAGGGGGAAGATGCTTCGGGCCACGTCGCCTCCCCGAACCCCGAGATCAGACAGTCGCCCCATGTGGACCTGGAGCACCAGTCCCGGGCAGCCCGGCCACCCCGCAGGCAGAGGAACCGGCCCCCGCGTGGGGCCTGCCCGCCGGTGATGGCCACGGCAGGAGGCACACTGATCTTTCTCATGTTCTGTGTGTGTGTCCAGTCCCATCCCGGGGCGGCGGCCTGCTGGTCAGCCCAGCGCGCTCTGGCCCTGGGCCCACGTGTGAGCTGACCCTGTGCCATCTCCACCGCCGCCCCCTTCCTGGACGCAGCGCCAGCCCTGGGGCCGAGGGCCCCACAGACACGAGGCGCCCAGCTGTGCTCTGGGAGCACGTGGCCTTCAGGGGCGTGGAGGGGGGTCCCCTGGCTCTGTTACCTGCCCAGCTGTCCTTTAACCAATAGTCCCTTCCCAAGCCGGCCGCTGTCAGGCCTGGATCCAGCCCCACATGGGAGTTTGGGAGAAATAAAGTTCCCTGCCCCAACAAGAGAAGGAGCTGGCATTTCCATGGACATCTAGGCACACAGCCCGGACTCCGAGGACAGAAGAGCCCCCTCCTGAGGCCGGGATCAGTGGGTCCTCACAGAGGTATTATAGAAGCCTGGGCACCCAGAGGGCGTGACGTGTGTGAGACCATGCACAACTGCCACTCCCTTCCTCCCCTTGGAACTGTGACACATGTACAGACATACACACACACACACAGGTGTGTATGTGCATGCACCACGTGCGTGCACATACCACGTGTGTTCATCACATGTTCACCATCCATGCACAGTACACCAGGCCTGTGCACACATCACCACCGACGTGCACATGGCACATCATACACAGGTAGGGTCGCCGGGTGGTCGGCGCTCTGCACGGTGTCAGGGTGCGACTCGCCCGCCTTCCCTCACACACACCGGGGGCGGCCAGGAGTGTGTCAGGTGCCCGGGCCCCGGCTCCGTGTCTGAGCCTGAGGGGCCTCACTCCCGGGGTTCCCGACAGTGGAGGTGTAGCTTCCCGCGTGTCCGAACCGCCACCAACCCCGTGTCTCACAGGTCCACCGACAGACAGGCAACCCGATGACCGCTGAGCGGTTCCCGTCTCCACCGCCGTCTGCCTGGCCCCCTGCTTCCGTCGCTGACACGAACCGAGACCCGACGCTGTGCTGTGTACACACTGTAGATGCAGACCCGTCGGGCGAAATACAGTGTTTCACAACGTTCGCCTTGGGTGAGGCTGGTTACTGGCGTCCGTGTGCGTCTCTGACCTCGAGGGCAGCCACCTCCCTGCCAGGCCCTGTCTGTGCCCTGGTGCTTGGGGTGGGGCCGTTCTTCCCTGGCAGCCCCCACGGGCATCCAGCACCTCCCCCTCAGGGGCCCTGGCTGAACAGAGAGCACCTCATCCTTCCCACCAAAGACGCTCGGCACCGAATAAACCGGAGAGCTCCCGTGCCCACACGGCCTCCGGGGCCCGGCTGGGAGCCGTGCTATGGCATGTCCCACTGGCACGTGGTTTCCAGAGCACGGAAGTGCACCCCACGGCTGCAGCCAGGCGCTCCGTGTGCAGGGAGCCTCCACGAGGGTGGGCTGCCTGTGGCCTTACGTTCTGTGTCCCTTCCTCCCTCTGTGCACATGTGTGTGCATGCATGCACATGAATGGGTGGTGAGGGGTAAGCGTTATGTGTGTGTATGAGCATTCAGTGTGTAAAAAACGAATGTACATGTGTGAATGTGCTTACCTGTATGCTGTATGCTGGCATGTTGAAAGCTGTGCCTATGTGTGAGTTCATGCATATGTGTGTGCATTAGTGAGTGGGTGGGTGGGTGTGGTGTCTGAGTTGTATTGCGTGTATGCAGTAAGAGTGCCTGTGTGTGCGTGCTAAAGGAGAGTGTTTGTGTGTATATATGTGTGTGTGTGCTTGTGCACATGAGATGAATGGGCATGCATGTGTGTGTTCTCCAGAGAGTTAAAAGTCAAAGCTGAGTGCTCTGGCCATTCGGGGGCGGGTGGAGCAGGAAGGGGCATAAGAGGGGCATCCCTCAGCCATGACCCACGCTGCTGCACACATCTCACAGTGAGTCAGGCTGCAGAGTGGTGACAGGACGAGTCCTCCACCCCAAGCTTCACGGTGCTGACTCCTGGGGGCCAGGAGGGAGGGGGTGCCGGATGGGATGGTAGACATGCAGACACGTGTGACAGAAATAAACCACGTGAGGGACAGTCCTCCGAGGGCGCCAGGCAGCAGCCCCGCCAGGCTGCGGATCCAAAGGCGCTGCCTGATGTCACAGAGGTCACCACGGCAGTCCGAGGACCAGAAACCCCTGCGCACGGACAGGGACAGTGACAGGGAAGGTGCAGCGCGGGGGGCCTGTCCAGAGCCCCCCGCATGATGGCACCCACAGTCCTCCACTGTCCCTGCTGCCTTCACCGCCACCAGCCGGCAAGGGTCAGCCTTGTGGCGTCCTGCTCATGGCTTCCCTCACCAGAGTGTCCCAGGGAACCGCCGGCCGCTGCCATGTCCCCACTGTCCCCAGGGTGGAACGCATCCAGGGTAAGTAACATGGTAAAGTGTTTCATCGCAAACCGCATAAATGTCAACACGGTCTCTGCATGAGCAGCAGGTGGCTACGCTCACAGCTCAGCCACACCCACGTGGTGCCTTCGCGGGCCAGCCCTGGCTCCAGAGGGTCCCCACTTCCTGTGGTCGGGACCCATGTCCACGGTGACCTCACCCCTCACCCCTGCAGGAACCCCAGAGTCCTGCAGAAGCTCCATGGGTCCCCAGGAAGGCCTCAGGAGCCGGCCGGAGCTCCAGCTCCCGGGCAGCAGGTCAGTGGGCTACTGTCCTGGGTCCCCTCTCTGACTGGCTGTACCCAAGACCTGGATCATGTAAAATGAGTTGAATGGTCATTAGAAACAAAAAAAACATAGTTTTAAAAAGGTATTTATTAAATATTCAATTTATTAAAACTTAATGTGTATTTGTTTCCAAAAAGTATGGTGGGGACCCTGGCCAGGTGGCTCAGTTGGCTGCAGCATTGTCTCATATACCAGAAGGTTGCGGGCTCAATCCTGGTCAGGGTGCGTACCTAAGGAGTGGATTCGATCCCCAGTCAGGGCACATACGGGAGACAAAGGATAATGTTTCTCTCACATTGGTCTTTCTCTTCCTCTCTCTCTCTTCCACTCTCCCCATCTCTCTTTCTCTCTCCCCTATCCTCTATCTCTAAAATCGATTTAAAAAAAAAAAAACGGGAATAAGGACACATATGTAGTAAATAAATGTTTTAAAAAATACAATATTCTCAAGTAAGGATTTTTTTTTTAAGTATGATGCGGGGTCTATAGAAAATTTCAAGCATAAAAATATGTCCCAATAGAATAAAATTCTGGGCAAAAATGGATGATTATAATGAGTTTCATGGAAACCGTCATGATGAGGATTTCTGCCTATTAAAGAAAAATGTGTTTCTGTGTTTTCTGCAAATGGTAGACGGTGGGTACCAAAGCCACTTTGGTATTTAGCTTCTTGGATACATTTAGGAGAGTGACTAACAGCTTTATTCCAAAGTGTCAATATTGACACCACACCAGACATGACATTCATTGCAGTCATTTACATTTTTTAAAATTTGGGCGTTGGCTTCAGAATGTGCGCGGGTTTTGACAGCTCTTCACATTGTTTTAGGGAAAATGAGAGCCGAGGCATTGAAGCCCCTCTCCACTGGCCTCACATCACCTGGCCACGCAGAGCACCACATGCGTACCCCGAGACAGGAGGGAGCCCCCATCTGTGGAGAGACGGGGCTCGACCGAGAACAAGACTAAGTCCTGACAGTGTCCGGTGTGGCAAGGGGCAGAGACCAGCCTGGATACCCCATCCGTGGGGCGGGGGGGGTGGGGGGCGGGGGACACCCTGCTTCTGTCCTGGGCACCAACCAGGAGGGTAGTCGGTGGGAGAGCGGGGCGGGCCAGGCCCTGCAGCAGAAGCAGACGTGGCCACGCAGAGGGAGGGTCCCACAGCAGAGAGGGGGTGGGCAGAGAGTGAGTAGACGGGTCAGCGAAGACCAGTAAGAAGGCTGGGCAGCACCCGTCATGGCCTGGGAGCCCTGCAGGGTGCAGGCAGCACCGGAGAGAAGCGTCAGGAAGAAGGTATGCAGCCAGGCGTGTCCTGGGCGCCCAGGCTCGGTGCAGAGGTGGGTACAAAGGCCGGGGGGCCATTCCAGCGATCCGAGCATGAGACTGTGTGGCCCTGTGTGAAACTGAGTTTGCAGTGGCCTTTCGGTGGACACCCGGGGCTGCCTGCTGGCGTCCCATCAGCTCTGGGACGATGTGAGTGCCTCATCTACATGCCTCCGACCTCAGGAACCAGGCCCTCGTTCAGCATGAATGGACCATCTCCTATGTTTGAGGCACCAGGCCCCGGGGCCCTTTCCCTGGAGAGAAGCAAGCAGGTGGGCAAACACTCACAAAGACAACCAACTTTCAGAAGTTTCTTATCGCTCCACACACAGGAAGACCGTGACCACACACTCTGGAACGAAAGCAGGCGGGTGGATAGGAGGAGCTGCAGGGCGCCCTGCCCCACGCCCCTCCCGGCGGCCCGTGTGCCTGGTCCCTGGTCACCGAGCAGCGGCCCGCTGAGTGCTTTCGGCCACTATGGCCAGAGCGGACTCAGCTGACATCAGCAGCCCATTTGTTCCGCATTTTACCCAAAGTGGATGCATCTTTTCCGAGGAGCATAGGTGATGTCACTGCTCCCACGTGCCCTGTCCCGTTCAGCCCTCACCCTACGCCCTGGGCCAGCTGCATGAGAATCAGTGACAAAGCCCATGCCCCGCTCCGGGAGGGCCCTACAGCACAGATTCTGTGCCTGAGGCGCCCCCTCAGGGCCATATCCAGGCTCCACGAAGTGAGGTGGCAGCCCAGCCCCCCTGAGCCCTGCAGCAGAGGGACCCTGCAGCCAGGGCTCTCGGCTCTGTAGGCCCAGGGTCCAAGGATGGGGGTGCAGCTGGAGCCCCAGAGTTCTGCAGCGCAGCCTGCCTGCCACTCTCAGCCTCCTTCCGAGACCCCGTGTGGTGTCCACAGAGAGCTCAGGGACGGGAGGCCCAAGTCACGTGTCGGTGAGATGCTTTTTCTCCAGTTCCTGCTGCCTCCACTCCATCCCACTCCCCCTGGCTGCTGCTTTGAGCTTCCACATACCCCAGGATGGAGGAGACCGCCCCTGGTTTCTGCCCCAATGGATCCGGGTGGGCCTCAGGACCAGCACTTGGCACAAGGTAAGGCTGCCCAGCACCCATCTCGGCCACCAGCCTCGGGCTTCACTGCCCACCTCTTTATTCCTCCCGTGTTTGGGGAGCCCCTCACCCCCTTGGGTGTCATGTCCCAGGGGCCCGGGGCCACAGCTATCTGATCCAAAGGCAGGACATTAGGAATTAATCTCCCTGCCCACTGTACCCTCGGCCTTTGGAAAACCTGTCACAAGCCCTGCCTGGTTCCCACAAGGAGCATTAATGCAGCGCCTGCTGTGTGCCCGGCCAGGCCAGGCTGTAGGAACAGGGATGGCCACATGGGGGAGCTCTCCTGAGGGAAACTTCCCCACAGCTCTGCTCTCTAAGGGGCTGGGGTAGGAGGCACCCCTGCCACCCCAGGATGGTGAGATTACCATCCATCCTCTGTGCAAAATGTGGGTGGGGGTATCCTGGCTCTTTGTCAGGCTGGGTAGTGGGGGGGGGGGGGGGACCTGGTTCTTTGCCCAACTACAGCCCCAGCTTGGGGCAAGGCTCACCTATGAGGACCCTAAGGTGCAGCCTGCAGGATGCCCAAAGGGGAGGGACTGTCTGGCCTTTGGCTTCGGTTCCACTGGCCGGTCCCCCCCCCAATGGCGTCCGTGGGACCCTAATTCCAGCGATGGGGACTGGCCACCCTCCAGCCGCTGGGCCAGGTCCCTGCCAACCCCGTCCCGCCGGCCTGCGCACCTCTGCGGCCGCCACCCCAGCGGAGACCGCGGCAGCCCCGGCCCGGGCCGGCGGAGGGTCCACGGAGGGTCGGGGACCCACACAGCGCGGTCCTCGGGGTGCGCCGGGCCCTCGCCCCGCCTGGGCTCCGGCGGGCGCGGACCCCGGGCGGCCTGCGGCGCCTCCGGGAACAAACCGCCGGCCGCAGGCTCGGCCCCGCCCCCGAACGTCCGCGGTCCCTCCCGCCGGCACCCCTCCCGCCGAGCATCCACACGCCCCCCATCGCCCCCAAAAACACCCGGCCAACGGAGAGCCCGGCCCGGCGAAGTGCGCGCGGCGCTGCGGGTGCGGGGACCCCGGTGCCGCCCCCCAAACCTCCCCCCAAACCTCCCCCCGGGCCGGCGACACTGCGGCAGCCGCGGGCGGGGCGCCGAGGCCGCGGGCAGGGGCGGCGGGCGGGGCGGCGGCGCGGGGCGCGTTGCCATGGCTCCGGGGCGCGCCTAGCGGACCCGCTCCCGGAGCCGGAGCCCGAGCGGCGGACCGGGCCGGGGGCCGGGGCGGGGCGGCCGGGGCGCTGCCGGGCGGGCCCGGAGCGAACGCGGAGCCAGCGGAGCCGAGGCCGCAGCGGCGCCGGCGCGCTCGCAGGATGCAGGCCATGGAGCCGGCCGCGGCGGATTTCTACGAAGTGGACGGCAAGGATCTGGACTTCTACGACTTCGAGCCGCTCCCCACGCTGCCGGAGGACGAGGTGAGACCCCAGCCCCACGGCGGGACCCCCTCCCACCCTACACACCTTTCCTGGCGGAGGGCTCCACCCAGTGTCTCCAGGGAAGGTCCCTCCCACTCCCCAGGCCCCTGCGCCGGGCTAGGTGGATCCCCAGCTGGTCTCCATGCCCCCCACCGCCCCTAAGCATTTCCTCCCGGAGCGGGCAGGTCCCCTGGATGCCGCACGGGGCGGCCACAGGGGGGCTGTGGCTGGAGGTGATGCTGTGGGTGGTGGGCTCTGATTGTCAGGATGGACAGGGGGGCCTGTGGCGGGTACAGCTCTGTTCCTCTTTGCAGCCGACCTAGGAGGTCAGGGAGGTGCGGGCAGAGCCCAGTCTGGCCGGACTGTTGAGGAGCTGGGGGGGGGGGGGCGCGCAGGCGGGGGGAGTGGTCACGACTCAGGGCTGCTTCTTGCTCACAGAGAACAGGGCCCTCGCTCAGGTCCCTGAGTGAGCCCCCCCCCCCCCCCCGCCTCCCCAAGGCGCACAGGGGTCTCTGCCACAGGAGATTCCTGGCCGTTAACTGAGTCAGATGCCCACCGAACCAGGCTGCCTGTGACCGGGGCAAGCAAGCCACCCCCCACCTGGCTGGGGCTTGTCCCTGTGGCCCTGGCTTCCCCATAGTGTCTGTCCCACAGGCTCTGGGGCAAAGGAATAAACGGCTCAACAAGCCAGGCCCCTCTGCATGAGGGAGGATCCCAGAGGACTCAGCTGCTCCCAGAGAGACTCTCTTGTCTCCCAAGGCTGTGGGGCCTGGCTCAGGGCCTTCTGAGCCTCCAGCAGGCAAATGCCCGGATCCCTGGCGTCCCTGCTCACTGCTGAGGGCCGGCGACATGCAGCCGGGAGTCAGACGCCGTCCCTCCCCACAGCGGGTGCTGATGAAGACCCTCCACACGCCTGTCGGGGTGAACCGGGCTGGCTGGTGCCTCCCGGAGGAGAGAAGGGATCCGTCCCATTCCCTGGGGCCTTCCCCACGTGGCCACCCGAGCCCCAGCCCCAGGAGCTCAGGCTGGAAAAGCTCAGTCCTTTTTTCTGGGCAGCAGTCTGCTTTGGGGAGCCGCTGCCGCTCAGGGGGGGCCGCTGAGCCAGAGCCCGGGGGCTGCTCCCCCCTCCCCAGCCTCCCCGTGGTGACCTGGATTTGGTGAGAGAAGCCGCAGAGAAGAGAGGCCGGTAATAAATAACCCTTTGGGCATCTCCGCGGCTTTGATGGGGGAAGAAAGGGTTCCTCCTGGCCCAGCCTTCACAGAGGACGCGTTCAAGAGCATCTGTGAGAAGACTCACCCCCAAACCGCCACGGAAGACAGAACAAGCCGCCCACACGCCGCCCACACTCGGCCCGCCTCCTCCGTGGCCGGGCACCAAGCAGGCCTGGGGCCAAGTGAACAGGACCAGAGGCGGGCTGGACCCAAAGCCACCACCCTGCCACCGTTCGTCCTCCCACCGCGTCCTGACACCTTCTCTCAGGAGGTGCCCGTGGCGCCCCTCTGAGCATAGGGCATGGGGTCGGGGGTCCCCACTGTCCTGGGACAAGGCCTCCAGGTGACCGGGGTGCACAGGGGTCCCACTCCTGAGCATTCAGCAGGAATGTCCGGGGCTCTTCTGACTTCCCGCCCCTCTGAAGTGACAGGTGCTGCCCCAGGTGTGTGCCCCTCAGAGCAGGAGGCCGGGCCCAGAGCAGGCCTCACCAGTCCCCGGACTGCACACCAGTCCCCGGACTGCACACCACTCCAGACTGCACACCACGCCCCCTCAGCGTGGTGGGTGCTGAAGATCTTACATCTACCTCAGGGACATGTGACACTGCCTGCTGCGGTGATACCTAGTCAGGTGGCATGGAGAGCCGTTTTGGGCGAGGGGAGGGAGGAGCCAGGCTGAGTGTCACCTGGGCGGGCTTGCCGAAGGAGCCTGGAGATCCAGACAAGGACAGGGGCCGCCCCAGGGAGGGACAGCGGCCACCAGGCCCAGGTCATCAGCAAACCTCAGGAGACACAGGAGGTGGCCCCTCACAGTAACTGACCGGTCAGGGAGATTCTGTCCGAGAACCAGAACCGCACAGAGCCCCGGGAGCCCCTGGGATGTGCCTCCCCAGGGCCGCCCGAGAAAACCCAAACAGCCCACGAACACGAGAAAAGGTGTTTGGCTTTCTTATAGGAGGGGATAGGAGATACTCCCACTGTGAATTCCCATCCAGGCTGGCAAGGCCCAAACATGTGGGCAGCAGCCCTCCCTCCCTCCTGTGGGATGGGGGGGGGGGGGAGGGTCTAGGGAAAGCAGCTTGGCATTCCGTGTGGAACGGAGATGCCACAGCCCGTGTCCAGCAGTTCCACGCTGGCATGTGCCCCGGGGGTGCCAGCGGGTGGGAAAGCTCTACTGGAAGCCCCCAAGGTACCTGGTGAGGGGCTGGCACCACCCGCAGCGCCCTGGAGGCTGCAGCCCCACTGGTCCCCGGTCTCCCGCAGGCAGCACCCCGGACAAGCGAAGGACAGGGTATTGGGATCAGGCAGGACAGTGGCTGCAGGAAGGCCATCGAGAGGCAGGTGGTGCCACTGCCTGCCAGGGGCCTTGGGGCGGCAAGAACGAAAGCAGGCTTGGACAGGAAGACGGCGCATCAGTTTAGGCATTGGGGGAGGGGGGGGCAGGGTGTCTCCTGGTCCCCAGACCCCCTTGAGGAGTAAGGAGCATTCCTACCCCTGCCCGGTTCAGCAAGAGCCTGCCAGCATCTGTGGGCTGAGTCCTGGGCTCAGGGACCTTTTCGCTGCCAGAGGCGCACACAGCTGGGGGCGCCCTAGGAAGGAGTGACGTTCCCACTGTGCCCGAGAGGGTCCATGTGACACCGGTGAGGAAATGAGCTCAGGGCAGCAGGCAGCTGGAGAACCCCGGAGAGCTTCCAGGGGGGTGAGAGTTAGGAGGGGGTGCTCTAGGGCAAATAGACATACCCCCAGCAGGGCCCCGCGCAGAGCGCCCCCCGCCTGGGGGGCTGGCGGCTGAAGGGACTGCGGCGGGCCTGGGGGTTGTTGACAGAACTCCGAAGTGACGGGGTTGTTGACAGAACTCCGAAGTGACGGAGCTTTGTGTGGGCAGGCGCTGTCCCAAGGTTAAAGAGTAATTGGTTCTAGGAGAGGGCACGTGGGCCCCCATGGAGCCCTGGCTCACTGTCTGTGACTGGGTCCATGGCCCCTTTAAGACCAGAAGCCCCTGAACGGGCACTTTGCTGCAACCAGTGGCCCCGGGGGGAAGCCAGCCCTGCCCAGGGTCCCAGGGACCAGCCGGGGAAGGGCTGCCCTGGGGACCGCCTGCCCAGGGGGGCTCCCCTGCACCTGCCTCCTGCACCCCCCCTCCCAGTCGGGAGGGGCTGACCTTGTGTCTGCACAGCCACAGGGTGGAGACCTCACTTGCCTGCCCTGCAGGGAACAGGACTCAGGTGGTCCTGCTCCCACACTTACCCCATGGCCCACTCAAGCACTGCCTTGCTGAGGATGGTGAGGGGTGAGGGGTGAGGGGTTAGGCGCGAGGCCCAGTGAAGCCCCCGGATCGGGACCCTCAGCATGTGGGAGACCTCCTCTCAGGAGCCAGCCGTGTCCCTGGGCTCGGTCCTGGCCTGTGCCTCGGCCGTCCCCGCTTCCTGTTGCAACCACAGAGCTTCGGGAGCACTCAGCCATGCGGACTCAATGACTCAGACCCATGGATGTCACTTCATAAAATCACGCCGAGACGCCCCGATTAGCTGCTCCTGCCATGAATAGGGGCAGGGGCCACAGGGCAGGGGGTGGGCAGGGGCCACAGGGCAGGGGGTGGGCAGGGCCTGGACCTGAGCAGGAGGTTGACCAGGAGCCCCCGTGGGCACAACGTGCCTGGGATCCCCTCTTGGCAGCACACTCAGGCACCAACTGTGTGAGCAGTTGGGCCTGCGGGCACATGGGCACACCAGTGGGCGTGCACAGGGCCCTGTGCGGGGCTGGCACAGACTCACACCACGGGCCGGCCTCGTTCTCCTAAAGCACAAACCCACATGGCCTTTGGGTAGTGTATTAGTGTGTGGACCGTGTGGACACATGTATGCAAGCGAGTGCACATGTCTGAGGGAGTGCTCTGTGTATTTGTATATACTGGAATATATGTGTGTGGGTGTGCAGGTGTGCGTGTGTGTTATGTGTGTGCTTTGTGGGTGTGCTTGCATGTGTGTACAGGTGTGTGCGTACATTTGTGTTGGGAGTGTGGGTATGCAGGTATGTGTGCATATGTGTGTCTGCGTGTGTGTTCTGGGTAGTGTGGTATCATGTGTGAGCACTCTGTGTGTGTGTGCGTGCGTGTGCACGTGTACATATATGTTGTGCACTGTGTATGCATGTGCGTGTATGTGTGAGGAGTGCAGGTATGAGTGCACGTGTTGTGCCAAATCAGAAAGACCTGTTAGCAGTGAACCTCAGGGACGCAGCAGGTGGAGGTGGGAGCTGGGGTTTGGGGCTCCCCCTGCACTGCCCCACTCTAACCACTCTGCCTTTGTCCTGGTCTCTCCTTTTAAACACCTTCGCACACGGATATTTTTCTGGAACCCGGCTGGGTTCTTGGCTCTTGGAGCGCTGGGCCCCTGTGGCCACTTCTTGAACCAGCTCCCACAAGTCTCCCTCCCTCACCCGCCCCCACCCAGCCCCATAGAAAGAGCGGAGTTCCTGGGGAGGGGCGCCATCGGGCCCTCACCCAGCCCCGAGGAGGAAGCAGATGGTGGCAACCCCCAGCCCTGGTCCCCCTCCCACCACCCCCTGCGAAACCCAAAGGCTGAGCCAAGATTCGCGTGAGGCGCTGCCTGGTTCTCTGTCCTCCTTTCTCTGGCTAAGCCCTTGGTCCTCTTGCTCTGGCCTGGGGTCCTTGCAGTGCAGGAGGGGAAGTTCAAGGACAAGGGTGTGAGACGCTTTCTAGGACCTGACAGCTCGTCTGTGCTTGAAGAGCAGTCCTGTGAGGTCCCCAGGGCTCGGGGGGCAGGAGGGGAGTTGCACTGAGTTGCCTCTCTTCTGCACCGTCCCCCAGCCCAACCCCCCTCCTTCCTCCTCAGAGGCCCGTGACCAGACCCTTTCTGGCCTCACCATGCAGTTCCCAGCCTGGTCCCTCATCCACCCTTCCTTCTGGAGTCCAGGTGGTGCACATCACAGGGACGCACAGGTGACAGGGTGTCAAACAGAAGAGCAGAGAAGTTTCCTTGAGGTCCAAGGCGGATGTGTGTGTGTGAGGCTATGTGTGTGTTTGTGAATGCAGGCGTTGGTATATGTCCGTGTATGTGTGTACACACTGAGGGGCATTGTGTGCACGTGGCTGTGTGTTAGGTGTGTGTGGACACGTGAGTGTCGGTGACACAATCACAGCTGAGCTCTTACAAGGGTCATAGGAAACCACTCGGATCTGGAGGATGACCCTCACAGGGAGGCCCAGGGTCAGGCTCTGTCCTGCATGGGAGCTGCCTGGAGCAAATGTCCGGCCGCTCCACAGCCAGCAGGCCATGTGCTGGCTAGGGCGTGTCCCATGGCTGTGCTGTGGGACCACGCAGAGCAGCCCTGTGAATGGTTCTGGGTGTGCAGCTGCCGCTTCCTGGGCATCCACTCCACTCCCTGTTCCAGCGCCTCGCCCCTCTGCTCAGCACCTGCGTGTCCCCGCGCTGTGTGTGCTGAGCTGTGGGTCAGGGATGTCTTGACAAGTGGGTGACCCAGCTCTCGGGGCTGCAGGGACCAAGGCTCAGGCGCCGGCCACAGGCGTGAACGCCCGCCCCCAGCGGCACCTGAGCATCTTGCTGAACGCTCTGTGCCTCTGACAGCCAGGAGCCGTGCGGCGGCTTCTGTGGGGTTGTGGTTTAGTTAAAAAAAAAAAAAAAAAAAGCCTTGCCTCAAACCTCCTCCCGGCGCAGAACGAAACCGCCGCTCGCTGTCTGCCTCCCCTGACGTAGTCGCGGCGCCGGGGGCCCCCGGGGAGGAGGGCCCGTGCCCACACCGGTGTCAGCGAGGCTGTGTTGGCAGGAGAACGTGTCCCTGGCCGACATCCTGTCCCTGCGGGACAGCGGCCTCAGCGAGCAGGAGGCCTGGGCCGTGTGCCTGGAGTGCAGCCTGTCCATGAGGAGCGTCGCGCACTCGGCCATCTTCCAGACGCTCTGCATCACGCCCGACACCCTGGCCTTCAACACCAACGGCAACGTGTGCTTCATGGAGCAGCTCAGCGGTGAGGCCCCTCCCCGGCGGGACAGTCACACAGCCCAGGCGTCCCGATGGGATCTCCAGCCCTGTCTGTTCAGGCCCTATTCCTGGGTGCTGGTCTCTGCAGCCCGGTCACACGGCCCTCAGTGGGCCAGGGAGGGCCTGCTGCCCTGACCACAGGGAGGACAGGCCTGGCGCCTCCGCCGGCCCCTGGCCCCGCAGTGAATGGGGTTCAGGGCCACCTCCACCCCAGGGAGGACCCGAGTGGAGGGGCCTGGTGCTTCGGCTCTCTCTGGAGCCACGTTCCCTCCCTTGCAGGGAAGGAGGTGGTTTTCCCCCCACTTCGGGACAGGAAGCAGAATCCCCCTCTGGAGAGTGTGGGGCTGGGGTCCGCTCCGCACCCAGAGCCTCCTCCTCGTGCGGGTGTGTGGTCACAGCACCTCCTCTCTCTTTCCCCAGATGACCCCGAGGGGGCCTTTGTGCCCCCAGAGTTCGATGTGACTGGGAACACCTTTGAGGTAAGAGGCCTTGCCCGGGAGGGGCGGGCGTGTGGTTAGCAGGGAAGGGCGTCAGCGGGCCTGTGCCCAGGGTGCCCGTGAGGAGCCTTTGGGCACGCCCCCCACTCCCTAGTCACTCGGCAGGCAGCTCGGCTCCAGTGACAGCTTGGTTGTCATTACAGTTGCATGTTCTCTAAAGTGTGAATTTTCTGTATTTAACACGTCCAACGTGCCTGCGATTACCAGTGGCGGCTGGCGTGTCTCTGAGAATCCGCGGCCTCTGGATAGTAATCCACGTGTGTTAGGCAGCCACACCCACTCCCTCCAGCTGCGGCCACCAGGCCTCCGGGAGGCCCCCTCAGCGGAGTGGACCCTGGAGCCCCTAAGCACACAGGCGCGAGCCTCCCTCTGCACACGACCCTGCAGCGTGATGGGGACATCCCCCATCCGTCTGTCCGCTCCGCGCTGTCTGTCCACCGTGTGCCATGCTGGGCTCCGGCCCAGGTGCCGGCCCAGAAGCCATTGGCCATGGTTTCTTTCTTCATGGCGCCCTCTCCTAAGACGATGGTGCAGGAAACTGGATCCGTCGTTAAAAAAGAAACCAGAAATTACAGACTCAAGAATCTTCCCAAAGTCCATTAGCTTCGTGACATGAGTTCCAATGTTCACCCCAAGTGAGAGTTTGGGATTGGCCCCTCCTGTGCTTCATTTGACCTTAAAACAAGCCAGTTTCAGGCCACTTGCCCCGAGAGGCTGTGTGCGTCCCGGCTCCATGGACCACAGGACCCGGGCCCATGGTCTCGGTGGACCCTACTGTCCAGTCTTAGGGATTTTTGGACCTCATGGGTCAGAACCTTCCTCGGAACCTTTGGTGTGTACAGTTCCCATTCCTAGTCCGTGCATGGACTGCTTTATTTATTTATTTATTTATTTATTTAGATTGTCAGGGTTTTTTTTTAATTTCTTTATTGATTAAAGTATTGCATATGTGTCCTCATCTCACCATTACCTTCCAACCACCTCCCCACCACACACACACACACACACACACTCAGGCCCTCACCCCCTATTGTCTGAGTCCATTGGTTAGGCTTATGTGCATGCATACAAGTCCTTAGGTTGGCTGCTTTATTTTTTTTAATTGTTCTTTTGGGAAGGGAGCCGGGCTTTCCCAAAAGCAGTTCTGTCCCCGCCCCCAACCACGGTGACCATCCCTTTGCCTCCTTCTGTCCTCGTCTCACAAGCACGGATTCCTGAAATCCAAGTTATTCCACTTGTGCTGTTTTTAACTTTATCAAACCTCATCGTGCTGCGTGGATGTTGTGGAACTTCCTTTTATGTTTTTTCTGAGGCTCATTCACGTGGTCCTGGGCAGGACACAGCGAATCCTCCGCTCTCGGGGCCCGAGGCAGTCATCTGGGTCTGGCCCCAGGGGGGGTGCGACCGTGGACCGGAGTGGGCGCCAGTCAGGAGGAGGGGCTGGGCTAGGGAAGGGAGCACCGGGCAGGGCGGCAGGGAGCTTGACCTTGGTCGGGGCCCCAACCTCCACTGTGTGGGGGGTTTGACTACCTCCCAGAGCCAGCTGGCCCAGGCCCTCACCTGCCCCTCCTGCCCTAGCTGTGTGGTCCCAGGAAGGTTTCTGAACCTTTCTGGGCGCAGCCTCCTGTGGGTAAAGCCCCACGGGCATAGTTGGGGGATAATGCCCAGCCATGATGAGGCCTGTCCCAGCATGCTCAGGCTGGAAAGCCCACACTCTCACGAAGGCAGATAGAAAACCCTAACGTTCAAACTAAGGGAACACGTCTTCACTCTGGCTCATACATGATTTTTTAAGAATAAACCCCAGCCCTAGCCAATTTGGCTCAGTGGATAGAGCATTGGCCTGCGAACTGAAAGGTCCCATGTTCAATTCCTGTCAAGGGCACATGTCCAGGTTGTGGGCTTGGCCCCCAGTGAGGGACTTACAGGAGGCAGCCAATCCACCACCATGCTCTCTCATCATGGATGTTTCTATCTCTCTCTCCCTCTTCCTTCCTCTCTGAAATTAATAAAAATATTTAAAAAAAAATAAACCCCCAAAAAAGAAAAGTCTCTGCCCTTCAGAGACACAGCAGCCATCAGGGAAGGACATCCAGGTGCCTGTGTCCGGGAGGGGCCCAGGGTTGCTGAATGGTACAGCGGGGCCAGTGCAGACTCCTGACACTGGGGTGCATGGCTCAGCACCAGGACAGTCCAGAGCTGGGGAGGTGGCCGTAAAGAGCATTAGGGTCCCCAAACACATGTTCCTGGCCGGGGGAGCAGTGGCACAGGGCCCGGTGGCGCTGATGGCTCTTTGGTGCCACAGGCGCACATCTACTCCCTGGGGGCCACGCTGAAGGCTGCCCTCGAGTACGTGGCGGAGCCGGAGCCGGAGCCCAGGCTGAGCCGAGACCTGGAGGCGCTGCTGGACCGGATGCAGGCAGAGGACCCTGGAGACCGGCCGGATCTTGAGGTAACTCTTGGACCACCTCCCCATTTCACCCCAGAGGCTGAGCCCCAACACCCTCCACGCAGCCTGATGGCTTGGAGCCACATGCATGCACACTCACAAATCCCAACATGCACACTCATGCATGCCACACACACACAAGGCCTTCCTGTCTGCCCCCGCCCTGCCCCATCACTCGGGCTCCTTTCTAGGATCTGGTGGCATTGCACTTAGTTTAAATAAGAACTTGGTTTTCTGCCTGTATGGCTTGGTTGGAGTGTGGACCCATACACTGAAAGGTGGTGGGTTCAATTCCTGGTCAGGGCACATACCCAGGTTGCGGGTTCTATCCCCAGCCGTGCCTGTATGAGAGGCAACGAATCAGTATTTCTCACATCGATACCGCCCCCATCCTCTCTAAAATCAACCCTGACTCTCGCACGTGTGCGCAGAGCATCATCGCGCTGTGCGAGGAGAAGACGCAGCTCACGTCCTCCTGCCGCCTGTGCCGCAACCTCTCGGCTGTCGGGAGGAGGGTGCTCTCCCTCGAGTCCTTCGGAACCTTCCAAGGTGAGCAAGCTACACTCACTCATGCATGTGCCTGCGTGCACACATGTCCCCAGGCCTGGGTATGTCCACTCTCCTGTGCACATGTGAATATGCACAAACATGGGCACGGGTCTCACACACACATTCATACCAGTGTACTCACACACCACATAAACACCCACTCACATGCTCACACACTCAGTCACACACATAAACATACACGTGTGCAAACTCGTACGCACCCATTTATAATGCACACTCATGCACAAGCATTGCACACCCACTATGTATACAAATGTGCACACACACACACACACACACACACACACACGGGGCAGAATCACTCTGTGCAGACATCATGCTGTTAGAGTGAGAGCCAAGGCCGTGTTGAGAAGAAGCTGGGCGCGGAGCTGGACACGGGGCCGGTCCCAGGGGCATTCGGCACAGAGCAGGGCGAGAGCCTCTCCATCCCCACACGGCGCCGTATCGGAGGCGCCTCACTCCTGCTGCCGGCTGTTGCCGCGGGGCCAAGTTTCCACGGCTCGTGTGGGATTCCAGTCTCAGATGGCGTTTTGAACGAACGCCAGCGTCAGCTCTGCCCTGTGCCTGCTGAGGAGGGGCCGTGGAGTCCTCCGGTGACGCTGTTGGTGACGCCGGGGCACCAGGCCACGCTGCGTGGCTGGGAGCCGCGGGAGGGGGGGCGTGTCTGGCGGTTCGCAGGGAGACGCGTGCGTGGAGGCCGCCGCCAGGGCGGACGGGCGCGGCCACAGCCTTTCTTCCTGCGGAGACTCTCACTTTGTTCTCCTAATGGAACACGATGTGCTTTTCGGAGGAGATAATTAGACGGGGCTTAGCAGCCCCCTGTGGGCAGCTGGCCTGGCCCAGGGGAGCGGGCAGCCGGTTAATTAGCCAGGATTAGGTGATTAACGAGGCAGCGAGGATGTTTCCCGGCTGCTGAGGGAAGAGGCGCTGGGATCCCCCATCCTGAGGGTCCTGAGCTCAGCCACGGTGACCGGCGGGGCTGGGACCCTGCAGGAGCCGGTTCCGAGGTGGCCGTGGGCAGGGGTGCTGTGGGGGCACCTGGGGCCCTGGCCAAGGGCAGTGACCAGCCCTGCTCTTGCCCAGATGTCAGCGAGAGCGCCTGGAGGGGGAGACTTGCTCCGAGAAGTGTGGGGCCCAAGAGGCAGCCTGGGGACCATGGCGCTGACCCGGAGGCCCCTCAGGGCCGGCCCCAGACCCCTGCCTGCGACCCCAGGACCCTCTCCTCCAAGCTCCTGCTGTCACCCCCCGCGAAAAACGGAGAGAGCCGCATCGGGGAGGGGCTGGCCAACCTGGTCCTGGACGCCCCGCGCCCTGCAGAGAGGGGCCGCCTGAGGAAGGTGCAGACCGTCCCCAGGCTCCTGCCCGAGGGCCCCGAGGCCGGCACCCTCTGCCTGCCGCCGGCCAGTGTGACCAACCAGCTGCCCACATCGGAGTTCTCCCCTTCAGACCCCAGGAAGGCCTTTCCCGAGCGGAAGAGCGGCCCTCCCAGCCTCAAAGGCCCGCCCAAGGCGAAACCGCGGCCGGAGCAGGAGCCTGGGCTCCAGGGGGAAGGGGCTCAGGGTGTGGGTCCCAGTGGGGGCGGGGTGGCTGGGGGGCCTGGCCAGGGCCCTGTGGAGGAATGCCACCTGCCCTGTTCTGAGGACCCTCCAGAGGCAGGTGGAGACTCGGGGATGCTGGGGGCCGACCAGCAGGTTCCAGAAGGAGCTGGAGAGCCGGGAAGCGCAGCCTCGGACCAGGTGGGTGAGGGCTGTTCTGTGTGGCCGTGGCCAAGGAGGGTCTCCCGGGCCTGGTGCTGCCCCTTGTCAGCAGGAGAGACAGGGGGCTCTGTCAGAACCGAGTCCTGGGAGCTGGCGTACGCTCAGCATCCCCACGGGCACTCTGAGTGGCCCTTTGTGGCCAAGGACCCTGGGCGGAGCCGGCCAAACACACTGTCCTGCTTGGCTCCCAGCAGGTTGCTCCCTGAAGCTCTGTGTCCCCGTGAGCTCCTGGGGCAAAGCCGCCTGGAAGCCACGGCCCAAACCCAGGGTGGCCAGGGGCAGCCCAGCCCAGCACGGCAGCTGGCAGGACGGCCCAGAAACCCGCCAGGCTTTGTGGGCCCAGGGACTAAGGGTGGGGTCTGTGTTTCCATTTTTATTCACATCCTGACCCGCACCTGAGAGTGAGCGTGATTTCAGAGAAGAGTGTGGTGATCATAAAATCAAGTCCACCCCGGACTCACTCACCCGAGGCCCGGCTGCCCCACTGCGCGGCGTCCCGCATCCACACACACGTGGCTCCCACCTCTCGCCTCCCGTGAAGGATGCCGCTGCGAACGTGGGGTGCCAGTGCTGTGCCACAGGACCCAACGTGGGGGTGCCACAGGACCCGGCAATCACTCCTGGGGATTTGCCCCAGAGAACAGCTGGGTCCTGTGGCCGCTGTTTTCAGTGTTTTCGGGAACCCCAGGCTGTCCTCCATGGGCTGCTCCTCCACGTCCCCCCACGGTGCAGGGTCCCGTCTCTCACACCCTCCCAGCCCCTGGTGCACGTGGGGACGTCTCCCAGCTGACCTGCCAGGAGAGGTCTCGCGGGAGGTGTCTGACGTGGCTCTCGCCCTGTCCCTCCCCCAGGGCGTCTCCCTGCAGGACCTCCTGTCCAAGCTGGGCCGGCCCTTCAGGGAGTACGAGTTGTGGGCTCTGTCCCACGCCTGCCTCAGCGCCGTAGGCACCCACGCCCGGCTCCCAGGTGACACTTGCGCTGCGGTTCCCTGTTCAGCCATGTGGCCCATGGACACAGTGTCCGCACCGTGGGCCAGGGGCAACCCGGGGGGTGTCTGCTCTGGTCTCAGGACCCACTGAGTCGGGGGGCGGCAGGGGGCAGATGCCTAACCGTGGGCCTTAGAGCAGGTGACCCAGCTGGCCCACCCCCTTTTCGCAGGGAGACCCTGTCCCCAGGGAGGGGGTATTAGACATTGCACTGCTTTGTGGCCCCCAAATTCAACCCTGCGGGGCAGGGACAGGGCTGCCCTGGAGTCCCGTGGTCCACAGGCCTGGGACGTCCGGTCAGGCTGGGCCTCCAGCCTCCTGCAGGACCCCTCCCCCGTCACCCTCCTCTTTCCTCAGCTCCTCCTTGTGTCTGGCAGCCACAGGCCAGCTCTGGGGCAGGAGGGCTGCTCAGAGGGCCCTATGTCCTGCCCCCCAGGGCCGTCTGTCCAGCGCCTGTGGGGAGGGGAGGAGGCCGAGCCAGTGCCCTGGCCCTCTTGTTGCATCCAGTGAGGGACCCAGTGTCCTCGCGTCCCCTGGGTGGCCCAGGGAGCCTTCGGGTGACAAGGGGGCTGCCCCACCCACCCACACCCCAGCAGGCCTCTGTGGAGCAGGTCTCTGCGGGGAGCCCGGCCCTGACCTCGCCTTCCGCTGCAGCCTACCTGTGTCCGGACTCCGTGCTGGTGGCCGAGGATGGGGCCGTGCTCTTCGGGCCGCCCCCTGCCAACGGTGGGTACCGGCGGGCGTGGCTCCCCCTCGGCTGGTTCCCGCATCGACCACCACCCTCTGAGGCGCGAAGGAGAGCTCAGCTGGGTCTGGGATTTCTCTCTCAGGCACATCCAACTCATTCTTCCTGGCCCCTGAGGTGGCGGAGCAGCAGCTGGTGACTGAAAAGGTGCCTGGCCCATCCCCCTCTCCTGCCCACCCCTCCCCACCCTCAGGGATGCCACCCCCTCTGTCCTGAGCCTGGGGGAGGAGGAAGGGACGGGCACTGGCTCAGGGGGGTCCATCCCCCGGCTTTGCCCAACCTGGGCAGCCTCCCCAGCAGGTGCCTCTCGGGCTCTGCTGGTGCCATCCCAAGATCGGATTCAGCATGGACAGCTCAGGACCTGTGGGCGCTTGTTAAACACGCACCTGGGGGCTCGGGGCTTCCAGGTGCCGGTGGGGCCCGGACAGGGACGGCTCTCTGGGGACAGAGCTGGTCTGCTGAGCACGCTGGCTTCTCTCGTCCCCAGGCCTCGGTGTACTGTGTGGCCGCAGTGCTGTGGATGGCGGCTAAGTTCAGCGTCCCCCAAGACCACAAGCTGGCCCTGCCCCGCAGGCTCAAGACCCTCCTCCTGGAGATGGCCAGGCGCAGCGCCCAGGAGCGGCCATCTGTGGCCGAGGCCGTCAAGGTAGCCTGGCAGTGGGGCACAGGTGGGATCCAGGGCCTGGGGGTGCCCACATGGAAGGGACTTCTTATTTCCAGGGAAAGTAGGCGTTGGGCAGGGACGGCACGGGTTTCCTTTGTGGAGGGCCCATCACCCCAGCACTGCCCCCAGACCACCTGGCCAGAGAGTGGGCAGGGTGGTCCTGGGGCCAGCCCAGACCCCTGCCCTTAAGACCCCGGCCAGAGCAGCAGAGCGCCCCGCTCACCGGACTTCCCCACACCTCTTCCAAGTCCTCCCCCCTCCTCTTCCTGGGGTTCAGGGCCACGGGGCTCCATGTGACAAGTGAAGGGGAGCCCCGCTGCTGTTTCCCTGATTGGGGGACCTCAGAACCTTCTAGAAGGAGAGGCTTCGTGCAAACCGGGAGGAGACAGCTTTGCAGCAGCGGCCTGGGTGCCCGGCCCTGCCAGCTGCCCGCCCCTGACTGCTGTCAAGTGCGGCCCACACCAGCTCTCAGATATCAGAGCGTTTGCTTGTGGAGTGAGTCACTGGACTGAGAGGGGCAAGCAGCCCGCACCTCCGCGTGTTGGACGTGTGGCCCATGTCCCTGCTTTCAGGTGTGTGGCAGTTACCTCCTCCAGCGAGGCATGGACAGCAGGAAGATCTTAGCCCACCTGCGGGCATCCACCTGTCAGGTAAGAGGGCGATTCCCAGGCTCAGGTGCGAGCCCGGAACCTGCCTGGGACACCGGGGAGAGGCGGGTCCTGTTCCCACTGTTTGTCATACAGATGTAGAGTGTGGGGGAGGGGCAATTCTCACCTCTTCTACCATCTATCTATATTTAGATAGATAGATAGATAGATAGATAGATAGATAGATAGATGGAGCTATATCTATATTTTATTGGTTTTTTACAGAGAGGAAAGGAGAGGGAGAGAGAGCTAGAAACATCGATGAGAGAAACATCGACCAGCTGCCTCCTGCACACCCCCCATTGAGGTTGTGCCCACAACCAAGGCACATGCCCTTGCCCAGAATCGAACCCGGGACCTTTCAGTCCGCAGGCCGACACTCTATCCACTGAACCACACTGGTTTCGGTCTCTTCTACCATCTTGAACAGCAGCCCCACGCCCTGGCGCACTGACCCCAGAGAGGGGAGGGGCCCACCCCAGGTGGCCTGCATGCTGGCCCTCAGCTAGCTGCACCATTTACTCACGTCCCTGTCGGCCCCCAGGCAGCTGACAGGGCCGGCCACCTCAGGGTCCCTGGGTCAGCAGACAGGCACCCGCCACCCACCAGGGCCTGGGACAGGGCGTAGCCTCCTGTGCCTAGAAACCACCAAACCGTTGCAACCGGAGGCAGGTGCCTTAGGCTCTGTGAGGCGGCTGAGGCTGAGCGAGGTGTTGAGCTGAGCCCTGGGCCTCGGGGTCACCTCATAGGGGCCTGCGTCCTTCTGCCCAGGTTTACCAGGAGGAAGAGATCATCAGCCTTCAAAATATGTTCTCGGTAGTTGACCTGACCCCCAGCGCAGCGCCAGCTCCCGGGTCCAGCTCAGGTGAGTCCCCCCAGAACCAGCCCATCCTCTCCCGGGGGCCCTGCTGTCCGCCAGAGTGTGACCCTGCACCTGGGTATCACGGGGACCCTCACCCTCCCCCCCCAGGCCTCGGTCGGTCCCTTCTAAACGCCCCATTGCTCAGGCCTCGGCTCTAAGTTCTCCCATCTCACCAGCTGCCAGAACATCAGCTCCTGCCCGCCTCCTCCCCCACACCCTCCTGTGGTCACATCGCCGAGCCCCTAGTTCTTGTCCTGCTCCATCTCCTCCAGAGCCCACTGTCTCCTGTCTCCACGGCACTGATCCCGTCCTGCCTGTGGCCGGGTCCTCAGGGTTTTCATGCCCCCAGGCCCCCCTGAGGAGCGTCCCCCGCCTCCCTCCCGGCTCCAGCAGCCCTGGGCTCAGCTGCCCTCCCCCTGGTGCTGGAAAGCCCCCGTGCGCTAGGGGATGGTGAGCGGGGAGGAGCCATCCCCCCAACCACACTCACCCCGAGTTTGTCCAGGCTTCGTGCAGGTCAGCGGTGATACCGGACTCATGGCTGTGCAGGGGCCTGTGCCTGACCCGCCCTCCTGCAGCGAGGGGCCCGTGGAGCTGCCCGAAGCGCCCACCACCCCAGCCACGCCCTCCATGCCCACCGGCCTCGCACCAGACGCAGGTGCGGCCAGGTGAGTGGCAGGTGTGGCCAGGAGCCGGCCGGGCCCAGGAGCCTCTCCTGAGTGCTCTCTCTGCTCACAGGGAGGTCCTCGCCAGGGCCTCGGGGCCGGCAGAGAGGCCAGAGGAGAGGGAAGGCGGGCTGGACGCGGATGTTGATGAGAAGAAGGCTTCCGAGGCCCACGCAGTGGCCGCCAGCCTGGAGACACCTGACCAGAGGGCGCCTGGTCCCCGGTCGAGCGGCACAGCCCCGGGACCCCCAAGAGAGTCGGCGCCGAGAGGGTCAGCCCAGGGGTGCCCCTGCCCCCCAGGTCCCAGCTCCTCGGTGATGCCCCAGGTCCCACCTGCAGCCTCCTCCAGAGGCCAGGGGCCCCGCACCCCGGAGGCCCCCGCAGCTCGCCAGGGCCCGCCTCACCCGGCCAAGCCGCCCCGGAGCAAGGCCATCAAGGGCCCCAGCCAGGAGCCCCAGGGCCCACCCCCAGCCTCCTGCAGCCCCGCCCTGTCCAAGGCGAGCCCAGACGGCCCCCGGGACGTGGCGGACAGTCACCCCGAGCAGCCCCGGCCGGCAGACCGCAAGCTGGGTCCGCCCGGTGTGGACGCCACGCCCGTCCCCAAGAGCAAGGCCTGCCCGTCCCTGCAGGAGGCCACGCGCCTCATCCAGGAGGAGTTCGCCTTCGACGGCTACCTGGACAACGGGCTGGAGGCACTGATCATGGGTACGGGGCCCCCAGGCCCGAGAGGTGCCCCGGGCCAGGGAGCGGCGGGGGACGCAGGGCACGGGCAGGGGGTCGGCGTGAGGGGGCTTCAGTTGCCACAAAGAGGGGCCCCACTCCTCGGTCTGCACTACGAGCCCCTGAGCAGAGCCAGCCCCCCGGGGTCCTCTGGCAGCCAGGAGGGCCTCAGAACCCAGCCCCCGAGACCAGCCTCATTTGCGCAGAAAGTGAGGGGACCCCCAAAGGGGCTCCCCCACATTCTAACTCGCCCCTGTCGATGTGCGAAACCAGGGGAGTATATTTACGCCCTGAAAGATCTCACCTACGCCACGTTCTGCGGGGCCATATCCGAGAAGTTCTGCGACCTGTACTGGGGCGAGAAGCTGCTGCAGAGCCTCTTCCAGGTGGTGAACGAGCGGACATCGCCCCCCAGGAAGTGAGTGCCTCTGTGGGCCCAGGCTCCCCCTCCGGCCCTGAGGCAGACTCTTCCTCCTCCCGCCCCTCCTCACCCAGCATTCAGCTCCACCTCCCCACAGGGCTGCTCACCCAGGGCCCCCTCTCACGGCCCAATGCCCACCCTGTTCCCCAGCCGTCGGTTCCAGCACCTGGTCCCTTAGTGGGAGAGGGGGGCCCATGGGGTCACCGAGGGCCAGGAGGCACATCTCCCTGCTCAGGGACCAGCTGGAGGAGCCCAATAACCAGGAGCCCCACAGGCAAGGTCCCCTGGGAAGGCGGTGCAGGGGGGATCTGCGGTCTTGTCTGGGATGGGGAGCCCAGGAGGGGGGGTCACGGAGGCTCCAGTGTCCTCCATCTGGTGGCAGCACCTCGGATGCGGCTGGGCCACAGCCCGAGGGCAGCCATGCCAGCGCACGAAGCGGCTGCTCACCGTCCAGCAAACGGCCCTTGCTGCGCGGAGCAGGTAAGCGATGGGGGACGGGGGGGGGGGGGGGGGGGGGGCAGGGGCACTTTCCAGGGCGGGTTCCAGGTTCATCTCCACCCTCCCTGTGTGGCTGGACCATTACAGGAAAGGCTTCCTTTGTCCCCTCCGTGGGGGGTCTGTACTGTGCAGGGAGATGGGTGAGGTGACAAGTGGGTGCCCCTGTGGCCTTGGCCTCTCACCCCTTTCACCCCCCCTTTCACCACATGCGTCTGAGGATGATGCATCACCTGCCTGACCCTCCCTCTGCTGACAGACGCACTTCATTGTGTCCGACGATGCACGCAGTTAGGGTTCCCTCAAATCTCCACTGTCAAGTTCGCCCCCATGTGGCAGCTGGGTTTTTGAGGACCCTTGTGGCCCCTCTGGAGAAGTGGGGGTGCCCGGACACCCCAAAGGGCCTCACGTCCCCAACCGGGTGCAGGTAGCCCCTCTGGAAACAGTCTGGCAGACGCTCTGCATGACCTGCAGCTGCTGGCCCAACCCCTGTCCTCCGTCCTCCGTCCAGGGAAGGACACGCCGGCCGCTCACAGCAGCAGAGCCCCCTGCCTACCCCCCGCACTGTCCGACACGGACTCCGATGAGCTGTCCCGGGGCAACTTGGAGGTGGGATTTCGGCCTCAGAGGTCTGTGAAAGCCGAGAAGGACCAGGCCAGAGGGACCCCGGACGTGGAGGCCGCGGCCCAGCTGGCCAGGCCCAAGGAGGGTGGCCCCGCTGTGAACCCAGGGCCGGCCGAGTTCCAGAGCTGCAGCCCCGGCTGGAGCAGCGCCTTCTACGAGGCCGACTGCTTTGGCACCGACGTCCACAACTACGTGAAGGAGCTGGAGGGGCAGAAGGCCGGCGGGGCCCCCAACACCTCAAGCCCCGTGAGTGCGGGGCCTCCATCCGCTACGGGGTTGGGGCAGGGGGCCGAGTCCTAAAAAGAGTTCCGCTCTCGGTGACAAAGGGCCCCTCCCTGTGTCTCCCATTCCCACTCTCCCCCGGCCACCGCCCGCGGGAGCGCCGTGCCCTCGCCGTGCCCGTCTGCACGTGTCCTCCACGTCTGGGGGGAGGGAATGGCCTGTCTGTCCTCGTTCGAGGAGCACCTGGTCACCAGGCGACAGTTGGCAGGAGGTCACCTCGTCCTGGCGAGCCCGGTCAGTGGCTCTGGCCCTCCAGGCTCTTGTCCCCTCGGTAGCATCCCTCTGAGAAACACCTGCCGTGGGAGGCAGCTCAGCCTGGGCCCCGGCAGTCCGCCCCGCCTGGCTTCCATGGTGCCCGGAGTGGTGGACAGAGGGAACCCCTCTGTGGGCAGCTTCCTGCTCTCAGCCCAGGTCACGGCTGGTCTCCAAGCCACAGGTCACTGGAAGGTGTGTCTCCCACTCTTCAGCGCCGGCTAAGCCTTGCCAGCGTTTCTCGTCTTCCTCCTGCCACTGTCTGAGCTTCGCTTATTACTGAGTCCCCGCCAGAGAGACCGGCCCTGCCTCGGTCCTGGCATGGGGATAGGCGGCTGAGTTAAAATGAAGAGATGGTCCAGTGATGAGTTTTACAGAAAGAGAAAACCCATCCCAGAATTCTTATGACTCTCAAGGGGTCCTGAATGACCAAAACCCGGGGTCTGCAAACTGCGGCTCGCGAGCCACATGCGGCTCTTTGGCCCCTTGAGTGTGGCTCTTCCACAAAATACCACAGCCTGGGCAAGTCTATTTTGAAGAAGCGGCATTAGAAGAAGTTGAAGTTTAAAAATTTTGGCTCTCCAAAGAAATTTCAATCGTTGTCCTGTTGGTGTTTGGCTCTGCGGACTGAGTTTGCCGACCACTGATCAAAACAATCATGGAAAAGAACAAAGCCGGAAGACTCACATTTCCGACTTCAGTGTTTTCTGCCAGGCTGCTGGAACCGCTCAGTGTGGCACTGGCGTAGGGACAGACAGGGACCGAGGACCAGAACAGAGGGCCCAGAAATGGTCTCAGATCTGTAGTCAAATGACTCTGACGAGGCGGCCAAGACCACCCACGGGGGAAAGGATGGCCTCCAGCGGGTGGTGCTGGGAAGACGATGTCCACGTGCAAAAGGATGAAGCTGAGCCTGGCCTCACACCATAGACAGGAATTGGCTAAAAAAGCAGAGGCCTAAACCTAAAGAGCTGACACTATAGAACTCTCAGAAGGAAATATAGGGGAAGCTTCCACAGCCTGGATTTGGCCATGGTTTCTTGGATATGACACCAAAAGCACAAGCAACGCAAGAAAAAATAAACCGCCTTCCTTGCAATTAAAGCTTTTGTGCATCAAATGGCTCTATCAACAGAGTGAAAAGGCTCCCACCGATGGGTGGAAACATTTGCAAGTCATCTGTCTGATAAGCGTTTAATACAGAATATGCTAACAACTCCTAAACTCAACAAAACAGAACAGCCAGTTAAAAAAATGAGGAAAAGGCCCTAGCCAGTGAGGTTCAGTGGGTAGAGGACTGGCCCACGGACTGAAAGGTCTCGGGTTCAGTTCCGGGTCAAGGGCATGTACTTCCATTGCAGGCTTGCTCCCCAACATGCAGGAGGCAACCACTCAATCTTTCTCTCTCTCTCTCTCTCTCTCTCTCTCTCTCTCTCTCTCCCACTCTCTCAAAATCAATGAAAATATATCCTCAGGTGAGGATTAACTCAAAAAGTTTTTTTTAAAAAGTGGACTGAGGCCAGCTCAGATCAATGATTCTGCTGGGGCAACATCCATTTTTTACTGGGTGGTGAGCCTGTGGCTGGGACTCCCAGGCCTCCCGCCTCTAAAATGCCACCCTGGACAAGCCCCCCGGGAGCCACGCGGGGCCCTCCGGTCACTGTGGGTGGCCCCTGTGGGGACGGCCTACAGGGGAGGTGGCCTGGGGGAGAGGCTGTGGGGCAGGTGACCGGCAGTGACCTCGTTCCTCCCTTTTTCCTGCTTTCCTGGGAAGACGTCTCTCTTGGAACCCGAGTGCAGGCAGGTGAGCTCCCTGGCCCTCTGCATCATGGGTAAACGGATTGGGGAGACCTGCCCGTAGCCACCTTTTCACATTTCTCCTTGAGAACCCGCTGCGTCAACTTCAAAACAGGAGCCTCAGGAAAACACGGAAGTGTGAAACCGCTAGCGGACACATTTCTCATTCGCTGCCTCAAAACAGCGAGAGTGGGACAGGCCGGGGCGCTGGGTGAGTGGGGGACCGAGGGCACGTGTGTGCTGTCCACTTGTCCACACGGCAGCGGCTGCCCCACCCCCACCCCCAGTGAGTGCACCTGCCATGGGCCATAGCGTGTTTTCCATGCATTATGCGTGGGGCCAGCTGAAATGTGAATTCCAGAACAGAGGGAAGCGTGTCCCATGGGTGCTGAGGCCGCACGGCCCAGCCCCGGGCCCAGCAGCTCTCGCCTCCCTAGGAGCTGGAGCAGCAGCTCATGATGGAGAAGAGAACCTACCGGAAGACCCTCAAGTTCTACCAGAAGCTCCTACAGAAGGAGAAGCGGAGTAAAGGTAGGGTCCTGGGTGCTCAGGGTCGCGCGCTCCCCACCCCCACCCGCCCCAGGGTGGCCAGGGCCGCTGGGTGCTGACTCTGCCCTTCACCCCAGGCTCCGAGGTGAAGACGATGCTGTCCAAGCTGAAGGGGCAGCTGGAAGAGATGAAGTCCAAGGTGCAGTTCCTCGGGCTGGTCAAGAAGTACCTACAGGCGAGTCGCCCTGCATGCCTGCACCCCCTCCCGCGTGGGCTTCCTGCCGTTACAGCCTGGAAACCCATTGTATTAATACAAACAAACCCCGACTCTTGAGGGGCCACAGCCGAGTCGCCGCCGGGGTCAGTGTGGCCGGGGACCGGCGTCCCGCACACACCTGGGGCGCAGTCGGCCGGGCCGCACTGACCCGCTCTCCCCCCAGGTGGTGTACGCGGAGCGCTGGGGCCTGGAGCCCTGTGCCCTGCCCGTGATTGTGAACATCTCCTCGGCCCCCAGCGACACGCTGGACTTCAGCCCGCTGGACGAGTCCTCGTCCCTCATCTTCTACAACGTCAGCAAGCACCCGCGCGGCGGCCGGCAGCGCAAGGCCCGCGTCCTGCAGGCCGGCACGCCGCTGGGGCTCATGGCCTACCTCTACTCCAGGTGCAGCCGCCGGGCCCGGGGCGGGGCGGGGTGGGGGTGGGGGGTTGGGGGGAGGTGCTGGTTTCCCCCGTCACCTGTCAGGCCTTGGAGAGCAAAAGGGAGACAAAAAAAAAAGAAACGAGCTCCTAGGAGAGGGAGGTGAGGGAGTCTTGCCTCCCCTCACCTGAGCAGGGTTTGCACGGTTTTCATTTAGAATGGATTTCCCCGGGCTTGTTGACGTGCAGTCGCTACCTCGTGCTCCTTTGTTGGGCTTCTGGCTTGAGTGGCCTCAGAGCCACAGGCCCGCCAGGCAGCAGGTCTGGGTCTGGGTCCGGGTGTCAGGGGCCCCAGAAGGTGCTTTGGAGGAAAGTGTGTGATTAACTGCCCAGCAGGCCTCTCAGGGTCAATGCACACAGGATCCTCGGAGACACACCTGAATCCCACCCGCTTTACTAAGTCAAACCCCCCCTTCCTTACCTAACCGCCGGCTCCCAGGGACTGCGGTGGGGCTGGGCTCTGAGGCCATTGGGGTAGGTGTGCAGCGCCACCTGTGGGCGTGAGCACTGCCTGGTTCCTCGCACACCCGGTTAGTGAGCTCGCCCTGCAGCAGGAACATCTGCCCACTCACACCAGAGTCACCTGTCTCGCCCAGTGCCCCTCCACCCCTCTGCCCACCTGGTCCATAGATGCACCGTGTCCTGGCTCCCCTTGGCCCCGGGCACTCTCGGCAGGCTCTCTTCACCCGATGGCCTGGCCCACACCCAGGGGTGGGAGGGCCACCCAGGCCTGGCTTTTGGAGACCCATGAGTGGACCCTCTTTGCAGGGCAAACTGGGCTAGTGGCTGCCTAGTCCCTGGCCTGAGCCTTCCGTGTCCCCAGCCCATCGAGGCCCGGGGCTGACCAGCTGGTCGCCTGCAGCTCCTCCTGCAGTGGCTAGGGGGCAGCCTTGCCAGGACCCCCCCTGTTCCTCACTCCCAGACTCAGTCAGACACACAGGCTTTCGGGGCACCCCTGAGGGTGGGGCTCTCGTACACTCCGCTGCCTGGCTCCACCCTAAAGATGCAGGGCGCTGGAGCACAGCCTGCTCTTTCCTAATGCAGAGATGTCCCCCTGGGGCGGGGACTGTGCGTGCCCAGTGTGTGAATGGGTTCTAGAAGGAGACTCACAGGTGGGCCCCAAAAAGTGTTGGCCACTCGCACGCAGAACTCACACTCATGTCACACTTACATTCACACTCACACACAGCCATACTCACACTCGCTCACGCACATACTTACCCCCGAGAACTGTTAGCCAAGGCTGGGGTGGACGCAGGCGTCCGCGCCCCTGAAGCACAGGTGAGGCCCTGCCGGTCTGACGGGCCCCTCTGCACAGCGACGCCTTCCTGGAGGGCTACGTGCAGCAGTTCCTGTACACCTTCCGCTACTTCTGCACGCCCCAGGACTTCCTGCACTTCCTCCTGGACCGCCTCAGCAGCACCCTATCCAGGTACGCCCCCCAGTGGGCCGCTCACCGCAGGGGGGACGCCAGGCCCCTCGTCTGCTGACCCCGACAAGGAAGGAGGAGGGCTGGAGAAGGCTGAGGGGAGGATGGAGGGGGTTAGGGGGTCGCTGCCGCAGAGAAGGGAGCCAGCGTGGGCCAGAGGGGACTGTGCCTCGCCTGGAGAGCCACTGGAGGGCGATGATGGGGAAGGCAGAGGGTGGGGACAGGGACAAGTGAGAAGACCGGGCAACCCCCAAGCGGGGAGGGCCCAGCATCTCACCCAGAGCCGAGGAGCTGGGGTGCTGAGGAAAGCGGTGGATGCATGCTGGCTGTGAGCTCCCTCCCCACACCCCTGTGCACCCTCACCAGGCTGGAAGCCCTGGCAGTCTTGGCCCATCCTTGTGGGGGACGGGCTCACAGGAGACACGCACCCGCCGCAATCCCTCCACACGCGGAGCCAGGCTCCCCGCTGCCTGTTGGGAAGCAAGCTGGCTCTGGGGGAGGCAGGAGGGCCAGTCCCGCCCTGTGACGCTGAGCCCGGGGCCCCCGTTGTGTGGTGGCTGCTGCCTCTCTCCCGTCCCCGAGCGGGCAGGGCAGGGGCTAAAACGCCCTCTTGAAGACTGAGCTGCATTCAGACTCCACACACACACCCTTGTCTGGCCATCTGCCTCCAGGGCCCATGAGGACCCCACCTCGACCTTCACCAAGATCTACAAGCGCAGCCTCTGCCTGCTGCAGGCCTGGGTGGAAGACTGCTACGCGGTGGACTTCACCAGGAACGCCGGGCTGCTGGGGCGGCTGGAGGACTTCCTCTCCTCCGAGGTGCCCGCCGGCAGCGCTCGGGAGGGGCCGCCAGCACCCGCCCAGGCCCAGCCTTGACCCCTCTGCTTCCGTCCAGGTCCTGCCCCTGGACAGCTCCGTGGAGCACCTGCTGGGCCTCCTGGAGGTGGGCACAGAGCGGCGGGCCGAGGGCGCCCCGCACAGCACAGACCCCGAGGCCCCCAAGGAGACGGAGGAGGCCACCAGGTCCCTCAACGCCCTCTGCAAGAGGCTCTCGGAAGACAGCATCTCCCGCAAGGTCAGGGCCTCTCCAGGGCGGCCTCCCGGGGCGGGCTCCCGGGGCGGGGCAGCTCCCGCACGCTAACATGCACACATAAGCGCACACACTCCGTGCTGCCTGCCAATCCTGGGACCAGCCTGGTGGGGCTGGCACTGCCTGTCCCCTCTCCCCCTGGGCAAGGACAGCAGAGGGGCCAGCCCAGGCGCTAAGATGACCTCACTTCCTGCCCTTGGGCCAGAGATCCGGGTGGAAGGAGGCCTTGTCAGGAAGTGTCCTGGGACAAGCACGGGGACTGGGGGAACCTTCCCATAGTGTGTGGGGACAGCCCCAGACTTCAGTGGTCTGTCTACGGGAGACGCCCTGAACCAGCCAGGGCAGGGGTCCTCGAGCCCACACGGCCGCAGGTGGGAGGGGTGTGTGTGCCCTGGCTCGAGCTGAGCCAGGCTGAAGGCTCCTGGGCCTGGGTCCTCTCCCCTCCCTTCCCCCCCCCCCCGCAGAGCTTCCCCTGGAGGCTGCCCCGGGGCAACGGGCTGGCACTGCCACACCACAAGGAGCGCCAGTACACCATTGCGTCCGCCCTGCCCAAGCCCTGCTTCTTCGAGGACTTCTGCAGCCCCTACGCCAAGGCTGGCGAGAAGGGGCCCTACTTCCTGACCGAGTACAGCACCCACCAGCTCTTCACCCAGCTGACGCTGCTGCAGCAGGTGGGCCAGCAGCTGGATGCCGATGGGCCATCGGCAGGGGCGCTCGGGTGCCCGCGGGCCCCGCAGATGTCTGCTGGAGGGGCACACGGACACGCAGGGAAGGGAGCCTGACTGACAGGTGCACAGGCCGGGGGCAGGGGTGCCCCTAAAAAGGATCCAGGAGGGACTCTGGCTCTGGGCGCACAAGGCACACAGGGCTTGCTGCCCCTCCTCCTGCGCCCCCCACACTCCCACCTCTCAAACACCAGAGGGTGCCCTTTGGACTGCCATGGGTACCACCTTGGGTACCACCTCCTCCCTCCTGGATCTGCCCAGCACCCAGGAGTCAGGCACCTCCAGGCCCTTTGCTCCCCCTGGGCCCAGCCCCCAAGCATCCCCTTCCCGGCCCCTCACCATCCTGGTTCCCCAGGCCACTCGGCAGGTGACAGCAGGGACAGAGACCCAGCACGATCACAACAGGGCAGGCAATGCAGAGGCGACCCCCCACCCACAGCCCCCAGGACGCTGCCTTGAGCGTGAGGTGCCCTGACCGTCCGTGTCCTTGTCTCTGCAGGACTTGTTTCAAAGGTGCCATCCCGTCCACTTCTTAAACTCACGGGCCCTGGGCGTCATGGACAAAAGTGCCGCCATCCCGAAGTGAGTGCGCCCCGGAGGCCTGGGATGGATGGTGGTGGGAGTGTTGGCAGCTTGACCGAAGTGTCTCGTGGACACTCTTGTCTGGACAGAGAAGCTGGTGTCAGAATCGGCCTCGGAGCCAGACCCTCCAGTCACACAGCCCGGCCCGGCCTGGCCCCAGCACTGGCCTCGCTGTGACTCGCACCCGTGTCTCCTCCAGGGCCAGCTCCTCGGAGTCTCTGTCCGCCAAAACCTGCAGCCTGTTTCTGCCCAATTACGTCCAGGACAAGTACCTGCTTCAGCTTTTGAGAAGCGCAGATGACGTCAGCAACTGGGTGGCCGCGGAGATCGTGACCAGCCACACCTCCAAGGTTGGTGCCTCCGAGGCTCCGAGCTCGGAGCAGGGCCTGGGGTCCGACTGCACGGCGAGCGGCCCTCCCGAGGGGTCCCGTTGTCCGTCTCCCAGGACGGGGGGTGGGGGGTTCATAGGCCCTCCCCCAGCCATCAGAGGGTGAAGCCGAGATCAGGTCCGCTCCTGGCACTGACAGCCTCTGCAATTTCTTCCTTCCTTCTCTGATACTCGTGTCCCTCACCCCAAGGCCTTCAGGGCAACCCCAAGGCCCCTTAATAGATGCAGTTTTCTGTTTCTTTCCCCTTTGGGAACGTAGGAGTTTGTTAGTTGACAGACTGGCCCACCTTCACTTCTGCCCGGATGTAGGAACGGGACCTGAGCCCACCTGGCTTGTCCTAATTGATGATGTTATAAATATCACCGCATCCAAGGTAGCTCCCCCCCCCCCCACACCCGTGATAACTGGAAGCCACTGAGTCAGTTGACCCGCCGGTTCCCGGGTCAGTTGCAGGTCAACCTGCTGTCCAAGTTTCTGCTGATTGCAAAATCGTGCTACGAGCAGAGGAACTTCGCGACCGCCATGCAGATCCTGGGCGGCCTGGAGCACCTTGCCGTGAGGCAGTGCCCGGTGAGTCCCAGGCTGCGGCGGCAGCTGCTGACCTCGGCCGTGTGTGCCGAGGGCCGGGGCGCCAGCCCGCCGCAGGCCCTCACCGGAACTCTCACTCTAGGCCTGGAGAATCCTGCCTGCGAAGATAGCAGAGGTCATGGAGGAGCTGAAAGCCGTGGAGGTACCCCGACTCTGCATGCGCTTCAGGCACCTGTGCCCGCCTGGGGATGCGATCGGCACAGCTGGGGGGGTGGCACCCTCAGAGCCAGCATCAGGGCCCCTCAAGAGTCGAGGTGCCCATCTCCCCACGGGTCCTTTGCCGCTCATCTGGACGGCAGGGGTCTCAGGGGCTCCAGAAGCCAGCCTGCTGGGCCAGCGGCATAGGGCATAGGTGCCAGAGGTCCCAAGCTTGGCTGACTGGCCGCCTCCTCACCGCCTGACAGAGGGAGATCATGAGGGAGGAACAATGGGCATTTCCCCCAACGGCCGGGAGCGGGCCCCGGCCCAGACAGCTCTCTGCGGGCGGGAGGGCTGTGTGTCCTCGGTTAACGCCAGACCTGGCCCCTGCAGCCGGCCTTGGGCTTCCCTGGGAGCTGGGTCACCCGGCTCCTCTCTGGAGCCCATGGGAGAAGGAGTTGGGGAAGGAATCTGCCATTTCGGTAGTAGGATTGCGCAGCTTTCTGAGGGGTCAGTGTGGCCTTTGTGGTGTCCAAGCTGAAGACACGGGACTTGTGACCCCAATCCATTAACGCAAGGTGCGTTTGGACGGGTTGTAAGTCCGAAGGCTGCGGGACTGTGGGCGCCAACCAGGATGGCCTGGGCTGAGCCAGGACTGGCTGACCGCCCAGGACTGACCTCTGGCCTGTCTCCCGCGCCCACGTCCCTGACTGGGCCCCCAGGTGTTCCTAAAAAGCGACAGCCTGTGTCTGATGGAAGGGCGACGCTTCCGGGCCCAGCCCACCCTGCCCTCAGCCCGCCTCCTGGCCATGCACATCCAGCAGCTGGAGACGGGGGGCTTCACCATGACCAACGGGGCCCACCGGTGGAGCAAGCTCAGGTGAGGGGCCCCAGGGTGCAGTAAGCTCAGGTGAGGGGCCCAGGCGTGCAGCAAGCTCAGGTGGGTGAGGAGCCCAGGGGTGAAGAAGCTCAGGTGAGAGGCTCCCCATCCCTCCTGTTCCTCTGAGGGCCAGGCCCCCTAATCCTCACTCAAGCTTCATCCCACCCCAGGGCACCCCTACCCCTGGGACCTGCAGCCACCTCCTGCTGTAATCTTAGTGCCTGCATGTCCCATGCTGCCATCCTGTCACTGAACCCAGTGCTCAGACACGCTAACAGCGCCCTTTAAACACTCACATCTACACCTCCACCTCTTCTGTCCGCCCAATGGCGACAGTGGGTTTCATTCATGTCGACATCCTTAGCACCAACCAGGGCGACATAGATTTCCAGTAAATACTGGTGAAATGCAAAGCAATTGGAGGGATGGAGAGAGGAGGGAGAGAGGGATGGATGGGTGGATGGACAGATGGACCACAGGCCTGAGTAATGAAGTGGAGTCTGGCCTTGTCGATACAGACAAGTCCAAGCTTGTGCTTTGACGAGCTTCGGTTTCAGCCGTTGGGAGCGCATCGGGGATTTATGAGCTTCCGAGACGCGTGCAGACTGACGTCCCCGTTCCTTCCCCGACACAGGAACATAGCCAAGGTGGCCAGCCAGGTGCACGCGTTCCAGGAGAACCCCTACACCTTCGCCCCCGACCCCAAGCTGCAGGCCTGCCTCAAGCAGCGCATCGCGCGGTTCAGCGGGGCCGACGTGTCCATCCTGGCCGCGGACAGCAGGGCCGGCTACCACCAGGTGGCCAGCGAGAAGCACTCCCGGAAGATCCAGGACAAGCTGCGGAAGATGAAGGCCACGTTCCAGTGACGGGGGGACGGCGGGGGGGATGGCAGATCCACGCCGAGGACAGAGCTGGGGAGAAGGAGCCGAGGACAGAGCTGGGGAGAAGGAGCCCGCCCGTTCGCTGCTCTGGGCCACATGGCCCCGCGGGCGCGGCACCCGCCGCCTTAGCCTAGGGACCCCGGCACAGGCCCGGCCCGGGCCTCTGGGCACCAGAAAGGGAGAGCAAGGGGCTCAGACCACGGTTCGGAGGGGACAGGCACCGGGGCAAGTCAGGAGGTTTCTGCTAGAAAATTTAAAAATGCAATCTTAGCATTTTAAATGGAAATAGACTAAGTAAGCGCCCGGGATCAGAGGGAAATGGCCCTCCCCACTTCTCCAGGGGTCCAACCCACCCCCAAACCCCACCCCACCTCCCAGCAGTGTTTTCATGGGCCTGGCCTCCACGTGCCCAGCAACAAAGGACCAAGACTGACCTCTGACCCCCACACCCACCACAACTTCCAAGGGGTTCTAAACCCTTCCATGGGGTTCTGGAGGCTTCCCAGAAGCCCCAGCCCCAAACTGGTTGACACTCCCTCCCCCCCCCCAACCTTCCCCCTCCCAGACTTGCCCTGCCTCACCCCGTCCCAGCCAAGTGGGGGTCCCAGAGCCCTCAGCCCTTCCTGCCACCCATTCCAACTGTTGCTGGCAAGCGCCTCGCAGCTCCACACTGGCAGCCCCCCAAGTACCCTAAGCCCCACGTGCCCACCACCCCACTTAGAACAGCTTCTGGTGGGACAGGTGCGCCCAGGCCAAGGTTCTGCTTCCGAGCAAAGCACACAGGACACAGCAGCTCCCTGAGAGGTCCCAAGCCCGTCTGGGGGCCCCTGGGCTGTGGCTGTGCCCTCCTGCCTCCAGCAGCCATGCATGCCACGCACACTCCACGCCTGGGCTCCGCAGCTTGCCGTCACCAGCGCTTCGTCAGAACCAACCAGGAAATGGACGTTTGCTGCCTAAATGGCGCCAAGCTCCTCTCCAGGGCTGTTCCCCCGTGGCTGGTGCTGAGCACAACTCGGTGGGTGGGGGACACCCTCAGAGGGGGCCTGCTGTCACACCCACCACCAGGCCTGTTCCCGTGGGAGGCCACACCCCCCTGGCACCATCCCAGGCACCCCCGTTCTTCCTTCCACTCAAACCATTGCAAGACCCGCGACCATGCTCTTCTGAGTTTTAGAATTAGTCATTCTTTCGAGAGACCAGCTGTATTTCTAGGAAAACTTACTAGTGATCAAAAGCTGCTCTTCCAATAGCAAGATGTGCTTTCCCACATACATTCACGTCAGGTCCTGCTAACATGGAGTACAGGCCATGCCGATGTGGCTTTGTTTTTTTTTTAGGCTTTTCTATGAGGATTGTGTCCTGCCAATCAACCCTTATGTTTTCAGACTTTGAATGTAACAAGATAATGTCACAAAGCCTGAAGCAAAACTAGTGTCCAGCACAAATAAACATTCCAATCCTAACGACTTATTCAGGGGAACTGACGGGGCTTTGGCTTAGCACGATGTCTGCATGGCGCCCTCCTGTCCTGTAGCACAGGTTTCTAAATAAAACCGTTTCTACCAGCACAGCCTCCCTGCGGCTCAGTGTGCTCCTCCCTGCAGCGACCCCTGCTCTGTGGGCAGGGCGGGGGCTCCTTCGTGACCAGACGGAGGCCATCAGGGCGCTCACGAAGGTGTGAGGGTCCTGGGGTGCTCAGGCCACAGCCTAGTCCTGGGGTTGCGGTGGGGGGGGGGGGGGGGGCAGGTCAGTCAACGCCTTTCGCACACGGGCCCCACGAACACGCAGGCCTGCGATCAGCAAACTCATCCTGCAGGAAATACTTGCCTCTGGAGAAGACTACAAACCACCAAAATGGCTGAGCCCCCAAGCCTCCCAGCGCCACCTCCCGGGCCACCGCCCGGCCCCAGCCGCTCCCCTCACAAGCTCATGGCACTTGGGCACCCAGACCTCAGTACCCACACCTCACCGCGGCCTGCGGGCAGGAGCGGTGGATCGCTCCCGGGCACTCCCTCGCCAGGACCTGGCTGGGCAGGGTCCTCGTGGACGGGTTTGGGATTGGTGGACACCACAAAGGGAGGGGAGGAAGGCCAAGAGCTGAGAGTTTGGGGCATAAAGTGCCTGTATGAACGATAAAGCCCTTTGGGCGTGCAGGAGGCAGCCGATCAATGATTCTCCCTCATCATTGATGTTTCTCTCTCTCTCCCTCTTCCTTCCTCTCTGAAATCAATAAACTATATTATTTTAAAAATGTATCCCACTGAAACCGGTTTGGCTCTGTGGATAGAGTGTCAGCCTGCGGACTGAAAGGTCCCAGGTTTGATTCCGGTCAAGGGCATGTACCTTGGTTGCAGGCACATCCCCAGTAGGAGGTGTGCAAGAGGCAGCTGATGATGCTTCTCTCTCATCGATGTTTCTAACTCTCTATCCCTCTCTGTAATAAATGAATAAAATTAAAATAAAATTAAAATGTTTCCCTTCACCACACGGATCTAACCAAAGCAATGAGAACTGAAGGCCTACGACCCCTCAGGTCCTCCAATGAGCCACACTCCCCAGCTCCCTGCAGGTCCCCTCCTGCACTGATGCAGCCTAGACCAGGGCACCAGTGCTCTGGGAAAAGGCCCTACTGCGTAGGCAGTCCACCCCAAGAGGGACCAGCCAGCGGGGAGCCACCCAAAGTAGCCCAGAGAAGGCTGCCTGGAGCTGCAGACACCCAACCGCTCAGCCAGCCCAGAGCCCCCCAGGGCACCGCACACGCCACCTGGAGAAGACCTGTGGGACCCCAAACAGCTGGGCCATTGCCCGGGGAACAGTGCCCGGGCCTGTCGGGCAGAGGGCACCCCTGCCTGCCCAGTCACAGCGAATGAAGAAGAGCCCCCCTGATCCTCGTCCCAGCTCTGAGCACAGGATCATCAACGTACTCAACTGGTGTGGCCCTTCCCACTGCGCGGAGTGGCCTGCCTGCCACCCAGGAAGTGACTCAAGTTCGAGCTGTGGGGAGCCCACCAGCCCCCAGACACACGGTTCCGCCGGGAACGCAGGACTCCAGCCGCTGCCCGCCAGCTCCCCCTGCAGCCCGGACCGTTTCCCGCCACGGCCTGCGGCTGTTTGGGTCCAGCTGCAAAGACAGGGAGTCCTCGTGGGACGTGGGACTCCAGGCCTGGAGCGGCCACTCTCCCCAGCCCCTGTCTTCATCTGCCTCTCTCACCCTGCCCGTAGCCCAGTCTCACCACAAGACACCAAACACCTGCAGGGGCTGATGTAGGTAACCACGGGGAAAGGCGCTGGCAAAGGTGTCAGGCCAACGGCGAAGAGCGGCTGGTGAAGGCTGGACTCAGCCTGAAGCTCCTCTCCGCGCACATGAGGGCTGGCCATGGACGAGCTGTAGACAAGGGACGCCCTCTGTCAGAGAAAGAAGCTGCAGGAAAGCCCGTGGGGAGGCGAGGACAAACCCTGCAGTGCGGGGGGGAGAGGAGGGAGGGCACCGAAATACTCCCCGGGTGGACACAGGCGAGTGTACATTCCTCGGCTGTGGTGGGGCTTAAGTCGCTGGCTCCCGACCTTAAGACGGACCATTCTTTGCTGTGGGGCTGCCCAGTGCCCTCTGGGAGGAGTTACAGCATCTCCCGTCTCTACCCACTACATACCAGCAGCACCCCTCAAGTTGTGACAGCCACCAATGTCTCCAGGCATCAACTATCCCCTGGGGGTGGGGAGTGATACCCCAGAACCACTGGCTTAGAAGCAGTGACGACTCTATCCAAATCTTGGCTTCCAGATCCCATTCTAAGAAAGAAAAGGAGGGAGGGAGGGAGGGAAGGAGGGGAAGAAGGAAGGGAGGAAGGGAGGGAGGGAGGGAGGGGAAGGAAGGAAGGAAGGAAGGAAGGAAGGAAGGAAGGAAGGAAGGAAGGAAGGGCAAATTTTTTGGAGAAATGGTTGAATAGCTGGCTGGTGGGGAAAGTTCCAGATGGCTAGGAGCATACTGTAGTGTCAGAAGCAAGCAAGTGCTGCTAAAAAATAAAAAAAATTAAAAAGTGGAAAGAGCTGGAAAGAACTCCCCGTGGCCAGAGCTGTGCCATCTGAGCACCTAAGCACCAGTGCCAGACTGCAGCCAGAACGAGAATGAGTCCACACTGACGTCAGCTGATGGTGAACGAATAGAAACGGGGGGAGTCCCAGAAGAACCCCTAACAACACGTGCAAATGCCCCCGGGCATGGGCGGGCTTGGTGACTGGCCCCCACTGCAGGGGGAGCAATGGGAGGTGGACAGAGAAAGGCACCCCCTTAAGGGAAACTGGGGGAGCATCTCAGTCCCGCCAACGTAACACACCTGGTGTGACGAGTAGGGTGGCAGGGAACCTCCAGTGGTCTTCTTCCCAGAGACCCACAGCCCAGTCCAATCACAAGACACCAAACGAACCCAAACCGAGGGACATCCCACAAGATGCCCGGCCAGTGTCCTCAGATTGTCAAGGATGTGGCAACAAGACCACAGCCCGAGGAGCCTGAGGAGACACCAGGACAGGGCGGGTCCCTGGACAGAAAAGGACATGGGTGGACAGCCTGGAAGGACTCATGTAGAGTCTGTGGGTTACCGATGTCAAGGTCATGTGCGATGTTCATGGGACTCGATGCTGCTGCAACCTGGCTGGAAATCTAGAATTTTCCCAAGCTAAAACGTTGTAAAAACTGTGATAACCAGTATACAGAAATAAAATCGATTTTTGTTTATTGGTCATTCAATGGCCTTGCTAAATCCATTCATTCATTCTCACGTGCTTGTGGATTAAGTTGTACTTTCCGTGTATACCTACAGTCTGTAAATAAAGATGGTTTTACGTCTTCCTTTCCGGTCTGTATCCATCTTACTCGTTTTTCTTGTCTTATTGCTCTGGTTAAACTTCTAGAATGATGTTGAATGGAAGTGGTGGTGCTGTTTTCGTCCTAATCTCGGAAAGCAATGCTCAAAACTCTTAGACGTTGCTTTCGGTGAAGTGTGTGTGTGTGTGTGTGTGTGTGTGTGTGTGTGAATCATGACACTAATTCTGACCCACGGTCACAGCTTTTTATCAGATCCGGCCCTAAGCTGCCTGCATGTTTAGTGAACGCCACCCTCTGTGCTCGTTATAAAACCACGAGAAGGTGGGGGCACAGCCAGCGGCTGGACGTGTATCTGTAAACAACCCGCTGGGGCGCACCAAAGGCAACCAACAAGGAGGGGGCGCGGGGAGGAGGGGGCCTTCCGGCTAGAAGGTTCCAGATCCGCTCCGCGTGGTGGTGAGAGGGCCCCGCACGCGCGTAAACACGGCTGAGCTTTGCGCACAATGCAGGTCGGTTAATTTGCACCTCGATCTAACGCTTTAAAAAGTTCCACACCCCCAATCGGTCGGCAGGTCCCCCGTCGGGCGGGGGCGGAGCCTTGCTCTCTGCCCTGTTGGCTCCGGGGCCCGGAAGGCGCGCCCAGAAACCCAGGCGCAGACCCAGACCGAGTGGGATTTGGCGGGGAGGGGGCGGGGCGGAGCGGGGCGGGGCGGAAGGAGGGCCGCGTAGACCCGGCCCGGGGTCCGGCTCCGGAGGAGGAGGAGGAGGAGGAGGAGGAGGCGGCGGCGGAAGCGCACAGTCTTCCGAGCGCGTGCGGGCGGCTCGCGGGCTGCGGCCCGGACCCAGCATGCTGCTCCGACCGCGGCGGCCACCCCCGCCCGGGCCGCCGGCCTCGCTGGGGCAGGACAGCCCCGACGAGCTCGAGGACGAGGAGGAGGAGGAGGAGGAGGCGGCCGAGGACGCCCCGGGGACTCCGCCCCGACGGCCCGCCTCGCCGGGCCCGCCCGAGGCGCACGAGCTGCCCGGGTCGCCGGTGTCGCCGGGCTCGGCGCAGCGCACGCCCTGGAGCGCCCGCGAGACGGAGCTGCTGCTGGGCACGCTGCTGCAGCCGGCCGTGTGGCGGGCGCTGCTGCTGGACCGCCGCCGCGCGCTGCCCACCTACCGCCGCGTGTCGGCCGCGCTGGCCCGCCAGCAGGTGCGGCGCACGCCCGCGCAGTGCCGCCGCCGCTACAAGTTCCTCAAGGACAAGCTCCGCGAGGCGCAGGACCAGCCGCCCGGGCCCTTCGACGCGCAGATCCGCCAGCTCATGGGGCTGCTCGGCGACACCGGGAGTAAGCGCGGCCGCCGCCGCTCCCCCGGGCCCGGGCGCCCCCCGCGCGGCCGCCGCCCGGCCCCCAGCGCGCCCGCCGGTGCGCCCGCCGCGGAGCCGGGTAGGTGGGGTGGGGGCGGGCCGGGTGCCAGGCGGGAGAGCCGGGTGGATGGATGGGTGGGTGGGTGGGTGGGTGGGGAAGGGACTGGGGGTGGGGGAGCGGCGCCGGCCCGGGTACCCAACCCCCTACATCCTCTCCGCGTTGCAGACGCCCCGTCGATGCCTGCGGCCCGCGACTCCGACGTGGACCCCTCCTGGACGCTCCGGTTCAGCTCGTCCCCGGCCAAGCCTACCGAGGCTCCTCCCCGCGAGCCGGGCTCCCCGACGGCGCTCCCCTCCCTGACCCCCGCGCCCGGCCGCTCCGAGGAGCGCGCGCCCCTCCACGCCCCCAGCTCCCCGCCGCCCCTGGACCCCGCCTGGGAGCGGCCCGACTCGCCGCCCGGCCGCCCGGAGAGCCACGCGCCGCCCCCGCAGGCCGCCGCCCCGTCGCTGAACGCCGCCCTCATGCAGACCCTCGGGCACCTGGGCGACATCGTGGCCGTGCTGGGCCCCCTGCGCGACCAGCTGCTGACCCTGAACCAGCATGTGGAGCAGCTGCGCGGCTCCTTCGACCAGACCGTGTCCCTGGCCGTGGGCTTCATCCTGGGCAGCGCCGCCGCCGAGCGGGGCGTCCTCGGGGACCCGCGCCCCTGAGGCCCGGCCCAGACCCTGCCTGTTGCCCTCCCGCCCCCCTTCCCACCTCTAGGTACGTTCAATAAAAACATGTTGTTTTTCCCAACCTTTCCTCGTGAATGTGTGCAAGCCCCGCCTAGGGAGGATGGCCCTGCAGGTAGGGCGAGGTTAGAATGGCTTTGGGGTCTGGGGAGGGGCCTGTGCGGCTTTGGCTGGGCTGGAGCTGGAGCGGGGTGCCAGCCTCCGGAGGGGAGGGCTGTGGAATCGGAGGTTGGAATCCTCCAGGCCTCGCCAGTCTGCCCACCGGGACTAGCCACCAGCCTTGGGGGTGAGCACCCTCCTTGGGAGCCCCTGAGCGGAAGGAGGGGTATGCAGGGCCCCTCCCACCACCTGTAGAATCTGGGGAGTGGCGTGAGCTTTGCCCCAGGCTGGGGGGGAGGTGGAAGAGGTGCCTGGGGCGCCCAAGAAGGGGCTGGTTTGGTTTGGTCCCCAGGGGGGTGACTGCCCTGGGTGGGACCAGGTGGCAGGGGCTGGGAGTCTGAGACTTGATGTTGGCTGAAGCCAGGATCCCTGCGATTTTGAGAGCATTTTTATCAAAACCATTGAGAATGTTTCCCCAGATGGTCTTTGAGAACCTACATCCGACCGGCGGGTCTGGCTGAAAGGCTGGGTGGAGCCGGCGGTGCCCCCCGCCCAGGCCGATAGGAAGTAGCCTGAGGCGCCTCGGCAGCATAACAATGCGGCGCTGGAGCCGGCTGCGGGGTGGGGAGCTTCTCGCCGGCTAGGGGCTCATTCACCTGACCTTGCCGGGAATTCCGGCTGGTGGGGCTGCAGCCCCTCCCCCAGCCCCTTTCAGAAGATGCTTCCAGAGAAGCCACCTTTGCACCCTCTGCCAGCCCAGCAGGCCTGGGGTTCTGTGAGGGTCCAGACCTGTAGGACTGACAGGCTCAGGTCCCCTGGTTCAAGCTGCCTCAGCTCCAGGAAGTCCCTGCTGCGCTCTCCAAGGATCTCCGAGTTGCTTGGAAGTGTGAGGAGTCCGGCTTGCAAACATCCCCCCAACCCCCACTTCCGGATCGCAGAATCCCGAGTTGGAGATACTTGAGGGCACCAGGAAAACCATGGGCCCTGGTGCCAGGTGGACTGTGGGCCGGCCGGGTCATCCACACTCCTTCCTGCCTGGACAGCAGTGTGCTCCTCCATCCTGGAGGCAGAGATGCTGGCTGCTTGCGGTGCCATTGGCTAGTTTCTCTACCATCTTTGCCCTGGAGATGCCCAATGTCTCTTTTTTCTTTCTTTCTTGAGAGGAAGGGAGAAGGGGAGAGAGTTAGAATCATCAATGATGAGAATCATCAATTGGCTGCCTCCTGCACATCCCCTTCTGGGAATTGTGCCCACAACCCTGGCATGTGCCCTTGACTGGAATCGAACCCGGGACCCTTGAGGCCAACGCTCTATGCACGGAGTCAAACCGATGGTCCCAATGGCTTCTGACGAGCCCGGCCTGTGATTCCCTTCGCCCAGGGCTCTAGGTCTGTGGGTCTGTGAGGTGAGTGAGGCAGGTACCCATTTTGCTTTGTGTCTTAAGCTGGGCATCCTGGGCTTGGCTCTGGGAATGTCAGGAAAGGTGGACACACCCCAGTGGGACCAGCATCCCGCCCTTGGCACATCCCTCCCTCTGCTGGCCACCGGTGCTGGGCAGTGTCCACAGCAGCCTCCCAGGGCTGCCCTCCAGATCAGGCCCCCTTGCGTCTCACGAAGGGGCTGCTGGTCACACTTTTTCTTTCATTGTAAATACACATACGAGTCACATGACCTGTTGGCGAGGGGGCCGTTCATGGGCGGCAAGGACATGGCACTGGTGTGCAGCAGCACCATCCATCCCCAGAACACTTCCCAGAAACCCTGTCCCCATTAGACACTCACTTCCCCTCTCCTTCCCCAGGCCCTGGGAACCAGTATTCCACCCTGTGAGCACGGCTCCTCTGTCAGTGGGATCACACGGTGCCGGTCCTTTGTGACTGGCTGACTGCACTGAGCATGATGTCCTCAGGTCCAGCTGCCTCGTGGCCTGTGTCAGAACGTCCTTTTTAAGACTGAATAATGCTCCATCATTCAGTGTGGATGGACCATTCTCTTTACCCACAAGTGGACACCCACCATCTGGGAACCTGCCACCTCCAACCCATCCACCCACCAGGTGCTCTTCCCAGACTCTCACCCAGCTGGGGTGGGGTCATGCCCACCTCGCCCCCACTCACCCCTTGGTTCTTTCCACAAACAAGCAATTGGGGGGCACGAGGGAGGGCCCAAGGGAAGTATGAGAGACGGGGGGCAAGGAGGGGCACGCGGAATGGAGGGGGAGGAATTACACTGTGAGGGATGGAGTGTGAGGTGGCAGGCCAGTGAATGCAGGAGCAAGAACAGGGCGGGGCTGAAGCAGCAGGACCCCAGGCCCAGGGTGGGTGCAGGGTCAGGGCCATGGGAATGGTGTGGGGGTGGGGCCGACAAGCCTCCGAGTGACAGACGGGGGTCCCTCCAGGCCCAGTCACCCTCGCAGAGACCGGCAGGAGGCGACTCTGAGTTGTGCAGGCGTGGGATTGGGGCCGGAGGTCCGAGCCGAGGCCACGCCCGCCATCACCAGGTCTCCGAAGAGGGGCAGACACCCCCAGGGTGCAGCTCCCGGAACTGGGGGCGGGAGGCGGGGGAGGAAGGTCCAGACTGCCCCAAATGCTCCGCCGAAGCCAAGGGAGGGAGCTGCCGCCAGGCCCGCGTGGCACGGAGCAGCCGGGGTTAGCGGGAGGGACCCAGACTGGGGCGGGCAGGGGAGACCCCACTGGGCCGGAGGCAGCCAGGTGTGGGGGCGGCAGTGCTGTGGGGGACAGCCCAGGCAGCAGCCGGGAAGGGGGGTCTCTGACCTGCCGAGGCTGCGTCACCCTCGGTCTATGGAAAGGGATTGTGGGGGGAGGGTAGTAAGGGAGAGGGAAGAGAAAGCAGGAGGGTCTGGATCAGGGAGGAAGTCGCCCAGCAGAGATGGGGGTGCTGAGGAAGGCGTGGGTATGGGGCCAGAGGCCAAAGGACCGGCCCGAGAGATCAGAAATGAGTGCTAACGAGGCTTGGGTAGCTGCGGGCATGTTAATGGCTGACATTTCATAAACCTGCTCCTCCTCCTCCAGAGGCCGGTCTGCCCGAGGAGCAGTCCTGGGGGCGGGGAGACTTCCCTTTGCCGGGTGTGAGGCACCCCCACCCTGTCAATCCCAGAGGATCTCTGCGCAGGCCCCCACTCGGGACGCAGGCCAGTGACCCAGATCCCCAGCCTCACCCCTCAGGGTCTGGTGGCTGGACACAGCCGGGGCGGGGTTGGAGGAAGCCCAGGGTCAGCGCCGTTCGGTTCCCGCTGTGCCCGTGGGGGTCCTGCTCCCACATCCCTAGACCCTTGTGGCCGGAGCGGCTGGGGAGGCAGGGCTGGGGTGCTAATCCCCAGGCCAGGCCCGGGAGCCCTTTGATTCCACAGGCGGCGTTGGGGGACCCGGGTGGCCGTCGGTGCCCGGCCCAGACTGGCGCCAGCGCCCCAAGAACTCAGGCTGCTGACCTAACAGCGCGGAAAAGCAGCCATTGGCTCGGTGGCCGGACCGGTGCCCACAGTCAACCCGGAGCCCGAGCTCGGGGGCCCGTTGGTGGGTTTCCGCCTTGGACCTGACATGCATCTGCCGAGTGGTGACCAGGAACCAGCTGCAGGCCCGCCTGAGGGGGAGAGGTCCGGGTGACGTGCGGTCTGGGGTGGGCGGTGGTCAGAGCGGCTATCGCCCCCTGGGCCCACCTGGCCGCACCCTTGGCTTCCCCCGGAGCACCGGCACCTGGGAGCGGACCGGGCCCGTTCAGGAGTGAAGCAGCATTGAGGACAAAGTGGCCGTCCCTGGGGCACCCCCTGAAGCTCTTGCTGCAAAGCCACAAAGGGGGCAGCAGATGAACCTCAACCCTCCACAGAGGACGGTGGCTGTGCTGTCCTTCCTGCCAGGTTCCTCCCGGGAGCAGAGGGGGGAGGTGCCCACGTCCTAAACCAGCAGGCCCCTCCTCCTCTGAGCCCCTGGGCACCTAAAGACCCCCAGCCAAGGAGCTGGGCGGGCGCTGGAGACAGCAAGACAAGGGTCTCCAGGAGCCAGGCCGCCCCTCTCCGGACAGCCCCTCCCTGCCCCGTCTGGCCGGCTTTGCATTCCTGCTGGCCAGACGCCTGGAGGCAGCAGACTCCCTTTCTCACTGGCCGCCCACCGCCACGGAAGTGGGATGGAGGCTGACTCCCGGCTGGAAACAGCCTCTCTCAGTCGCACACCTGTCACCTCGGTAGACCTCCGGGACGGCTCAGAGGACCAAGAGGGGAAAGACGGTGGTCCCAGGAGCCCATTGGACAGTGTAGGAGCCGACGGTGGGGGCCCCCCTCACCTCCCCGCAGCCTCGCCGGCGGGTGGGGGTAGGGAGATGAAAGGATCCAGCAAATCCGCAGCCACACAGCCCCCGCCCTCCCCCAGACATCTTGGAGCCAGGGGAGGTGTGAATGGCCTCCTTTGTGCCTCCGAATTGAAGGCAATTAGATGCTACTTATCTGGGGGGCATTTGAGCCATCCATGCAAATGCGCTTCCCACCCCCTCCTCCTCCGGAGATATAAATGCCGCCCGGCCCTGCTAAACCCGAGATAGACCCCGTGCTCCTGCCCCGCTGGGCCCTGCCCCGCCCAAACGGCGCCAGCCCCCTCCGGCCGTCTATCCCGCTGAAGACCCCGCGCCCGGCCTCCACCGTCCATCCCCAGGCAGACCCAGAGCTGTCCCCGGCGTCCAGCCATGCCTCCCTCCTCCGACCTGCCCAGCGGCCAGAAGCTGACCTCCAGCTTCGGCTCCGTGGACTGGCTCTCCCGGAGCAGCCACGCCGGGCCGTCCCACACCTCTACGTCCACTGCCGGCTCCTGGCGCAGCCTCTCCGCCCCGGCCAGGGTGTCCAGCAGTGGGAAACCCCTGCAGGCCGTGGGCACGGAGGAGGTGACGTCCTCAGCAGTGTCTACGCCAGGGACGTACACGACTGGTAGGTCTGGGGTGGGCAGGGGGATCCGTCCTTCCCAGACCAGGCCGAGAGCTGGGGAGGGTACGGGCGAAGGGAGGCCAAACACTCACGGAGGCTTCCCGTGTGCTCAGGTGGGAGGAGGGCCTGCAGGCTGGGGTTCCCCCTGATCCCTCTGATGCAAAAGCCACAGGGTGGGTCTTCCCTCCTCCAGCCCCTCGGGGCTCCTCTTCTGCACCCTCCTCCTGGGGGGACTGGCCCTCCCGCCCAGGCCGGCTGCCCGCGGACCCTGCCCAGGAGCCTCCGCCCTCGCCCGGGTCTTCTCTGGGCCATCACCCCCGACGTTAGCACCTTTGTGGCTGTGGGTTTCTAGTCCTAATAGTCCTGAACCCATATTTACAAGAGTAAGGTGACCAGACGTCTCGCTTTTGGCGGGACAGTCCCGATTTCTAACAATTTGTCCCGCGTCCCGCGGCGTTTTAAAAAAAGTCCCGAATCTTTCCAAAAATCGGGACTTTTTTTAAAATGCCGCTAGACAATTTGTTAAAAATCGGGACGTGCCGGAACTGGTTTGGCTCAGTGGATAGAGCGTCGGCCTGCGGACTGAAGGGTCCCGGGTTCAATTCCGGTCAGGGGCATGTACCTTGGTTGCGGGCACATCCCCAGCGGGGGGTGTGCAGGAGGCAGCTGGTCGATGTATCTGTCTCATCGACGTTTCTATTATAACTCTCTATCCCTCTCAATTCCCCTCTGTGTAAAATCAATAAAATATTTTTTTTTAAATCGGGACGTCTGGTCACCTTATATAAGAAGCGCAGGGTCACGGATAAGTATGTCTTAAAGCTTGCGACCCTTGCCCAAGTCAGAAGGTGGTTGTGCCCGCTCCCCCTCCCCCCAAAGCTGGGCGCCCAGGTTGGCATGTAGACTGTCACTCCAGTCTCCCTGGCATCCTGCAGGGCTTGATTTGGGGGCAGCCACAACCCCGGTTCCTGAGGACACAGCCTCTGCTTTCCCGTGCATGCGAAGTGTACCAGTGACTTCTCTGCCCTCGGCCCCCTCACCCTGAGCCTTACCCAACTCTTCGTCATTTACCGGCCACTCTTTCCCAGGTTGCCTTTTACTGGATGTGGCTTGGTCATTGCTTGTAGGTTGAGAGTGGGCATGTATGTTATCTGTTAGCTTTTATTTTTAAAAAAGTTTAATTCCTATGGAGTAGTTTTATATTTTAATGAGGTCGAATTTTAAATGTATTCTCTGCAACCAGTAGCTCCCCCCCAAAAAAACAAAAACAAAAAACAACAACCACCAATGGCCCCGGCTCAGCATCAAAATCCTTCGTGCTGGCCAGTCACCCCGCCACCCCCCACTGCCCCTCAGAGTAAGTGTGGACACTTCAGGAAAGTGTTAAAACCAGTTTTGTAAAATCTGCTCCTCCCAAAGCAAAGGATTGGTGTATCTCATTGGTCAGACTTCTGTTCAATAAAGAGCATGTGAAGGCCCTGTGGTGGGGGGAAGGTGGGGGGGATTGCTGAGCGAGTGCCCCATCTCCTAATTTAGAAATCAGAAGACAGACTTCCAGACACACTATTGGTGCGGACTGCCTGGTTCCTGGTGATGAAGGCTGCCTTCCCAGTCAGTCCCTCCAGGCCAGTGGTCGGCAAACTGCGGCTCTCTGGCCCCTTGAGTGTGGCTCTTCCACAAAATACCACGGCCTGGGCGAGTCTATTTGGAAGAAGTGGCGTTAGAAGAAGTTTAAGTTTTAAAAATTTGGCCCTCCAAAGGAATGTCCATCGTTGAACTGTTGGATATTTGGCTCTGCGGACAAATGAGTTTGCCGACCACTGCTCTAGGCCTTGCATAGAATGGACTCGACCTGCCCCACCCCTACCAGTCCCTCTCACCTCCTCTCGCTTGGTGAACCGAGTTCCCAGTCCGCAGGCAACAGAAACCTCTGGTGACGGGAGTTCCTTGTCTGCTTTCGGGAAGGAGGTGGGGTGGGTGGAAGTCATTCTTTTGGAAGGAACGCAATGCCTTGGGGTGGCAGGGGAGGGTCTGTGTCAGAACCACTCACTGCTCCCTCCCCAGTGACCTTCCTGCGGTGTCCACACCCCCGTGCTGTCCTGGGCCACAGCCTCTGGACCCCATTGCACACGTGGCTGGGCGGGGGAGCCGTTGCCAACCCCCAGCGGACAGCAGAACCCTGGGGGGCTGTTACAGAAAGCAGGCGAGGGGGGGAGGGAGGGCCGTGAGGCATGTGGGTCACTGTGTCTGTCACCTTCAGCCACAGAGCTTGTGGCACCCACCGAGCAAGGGGAGAGTGTCTCTTGTGAGCCATGTAAACTCATTAGTCAAATGGATCCAGTGCTCTCCCTCCCTCCCCCAGGGTTGAGCAAGGAGGCAGGCAGCCCTCGGCCTCCTCGCGTCCGCACAGCCTTCTCGGAGGAGCAGGTCAGCACCTTGGAGAGGTCCTTCCAGCAGCACCGCTATCTGGGCCCCCAGGAGCGTCGGAGGCTAGCCCAGACCATGGGGCTCTCGGAGGTGCAGGTGAGCCCCTGGGCTCAGCAGCCAAGTGGGGCTGGGGCGCGGGGGCGGGGGCGGGGGCGGGGGGGGGAGGGGTTAGCCTGTTTGCCCGCTCTGACCTTGTTTTCCCCACAGATCAAAACCTGGTTTCAGAATCGCCGCATGAAACATAAACGCCAGCTGCAGGACTCGCAGCTGAACGGCTCCTACTTGCCCCTGGCCCTCTGCCCACCCCTCCGTTCCATGAATGGCACCCTGCAGTTGCTGCAGCCGTGGGCAGCCCTGCCTGGGCCCTGGGCCCTAGCACAGCCCCCTGGCTCCTTCTGGGACCCCTGCCAAGGAGAACAAGCCGCCCTGGCCTCTGCATGGGCCTCGAGCCGCAGCCAGCCTCCGGTGTGCTGCCTGCCAGACCCTGGGAGCCAGGCGCACACTCAGGGCCCGGCCTTGTCCGGGGAAACCTGGCCCCTCTGTGTCCCGCCGGAGCCCCGAGTTGCCTTTTGAGGAAGCAGGGTGGCCCGGGAGCCCGCAGCTGGGGTGGGTCAGGAGCCAAGCCACCCCACACGTCCTGGGTGTGTGCAGAGCGTGCCCGGCACCCCCCTGGAGAGACAGGCCGTCCACGTGTCGGTTTACACCCCCGTGACACCCCGGTGTGGGCCGTGTGCTGATGCAGAGGGGGGACCTGGGACCCTGGCCCGCCGGAAGATTCTGGAGGGTTTACAGCTGGAGACATCTTACAGCTGCCCCTTTACTGAAAGCTATTAAAGGGCTTGTGATGGCGCAGAGAACAGACTGGAAAGCAGTAGACTTGTCCTGGGCTGGGCTGTTCGCACCTGGTGGAGGGTAACCCAGTCAGTCTAAGGTGTCAAAAACATGTTTTTCCCGTTGGAAAAAATAAAGGTGGACCCTTTCTCTACCAGGGCCAGGCACACATCCCCATCCCGAGCCTCCCAGTCTGTTGCTCAGGCCACGATCTGGGGGGTGGGCAGGGAAAAGTTGCTCAGACCCCCTCCCATAATCCCCACAAGGAAAGTGGACATGGGTGGTGTCCCCCCCCCCCAACAGATGCAGCCCTTAGGGCACCGGGGTGACCCTGCACGCCCCCTCCACCCTGACCTTTTCCATCGCGCTCTCTGGGACACGAATGCTGTCCCTGACCTCCTGGTTGGGACTCTGGTGTCTTCCTGCCCAGGAAGCTGTGGGCAAGAGCCCTCCCTCCACTGGGGCTGGGGTGCAGCATGTGACCCACAGGCCAGTTAGGGACCCAGGGGGGTGCTAGCACGCCTCTCCTGGGCCCAGGAGCCTTGCAGCCGCTGTGAGGGTAAAATGGAGAGCGAGGCAGCGCCTTTGGCATCCTGGATTCAGCCATGCCTACAGCCGGCCCACTGCCGTTCCACTCCGCCACCCGCCCAAACGGGGCCAGACCATGGGATGCGGATGGGAACACCCTCTCCTGCATTGGGGTACCCTCACACCTGCTTCCCTCTCACTCGAGAGTCCCACCGTAGCCGACCCTCCAGCCCCATTGAGGAAGCGGGGGAAGGGCCTGTGTGGGGCCTGGCGTCCCTGCGGCGCTGACCCCTCCCCCCAGAGTCTGCGTCTTTGGAGGGAGGAGCCGATTCCTCCGGGGAGATTAGGGGAGAGGCCGTCTGGGCAGGACCCTGGCTGATAGAGCTAATCGCTCCATTTGCTCCCTGTGGGCGGGCAATTGTTTAAGCTCAATCCCCAGGCCTCCGTCCTTTTCTTCACCTGGAAGTTAAGACGGGGCTGGGGCCGCTGTGCCCTGGGGGCCTGGCCTCGGCATTCCTGGCAGGCCCACCCCGCTCCCGGCCCCGCTGGTTATCGGAAGGTCATCAGGAACCACCCGGCCCTGCGGGTGGGAGTCCTTTCTTTACCCTCAGGTGTGTGTGTTTGATTCCTTCCCACTGACTCCCTCCCCCGACCCAGAGACGAGAGGAAGCCAGCACACAGCAGCCACAACTTTGTTTTAAACTGATGGTCAAAACAACACCACACTCCCCGTGGAATTCGCTTTATTGACATTCCTGGTCAGAACATCAGCTCCCGGAGGTGATTGCGAAAGTGTAACGAGGGCGCCGGGAGCAGAAAGGGCTTGTTGATGTTCACGCCATTCTCGCCTCCACTGGAGACCCAGTCCGCCGCCCCGTTCGGCCTCCTTCCCCCTGGGAGAGTCGGGGAAGGGTCTGGGTTGCCCCACCCGGCTCCTGGGGACAAAGATCAGGCAGGATTGGGGCCCCGCACCGTCCCCCCACCCCTCCAGGGCACACACACAGAAAAACAAAGGTTTCCTGATTGCTCATCCCGGGATACTGACCACGCTGCCCGCCCAGGAGGAGGAGGAGGGCAAGGAAGGGCGCTGGGTCCCGTGGAGGCCGGTGCAGCGGAAGGACAACCTCGCCGCCCCATTTTCCCATGCCTTACACCTCTTTAGGCCCGACCCTCAAAGAAGTATACGCATAGGAAAAAGGAACCACGAGAGACTGTGGGTGGCTGCGGGGCTCCAGGGAGGCCGTCTCGGCGAGGGTCCCGCGGCGACGGCCGGAGGAGCTGCTCGGTGCGTCCCGTGGGTGCGAGCTGTGCCAGGCGGGGAGGCAGGGAGGCCTCGAGCCTCCACCTTACCTCGTCCGGCCTCCAGTCCCCGGTCCCAGGCGCCGCCGAGGAGGGCGGCCCGCCGGGCGCGGCGCTCTGCGGCTCCTGCCGGCCGCGCGCCCATTTATGGGAGCCGGAGGCCTTGGCAGGGCAGCGGCCGTCACACGTGGCTGCGGGCTGTGCCGGCCAAGGACCCGGCCACCCCCGCACCTGCGGGATCGGGGCACAAAGCCCTGCTCTCAGCAAAGTGCTGAGTTGCGCCTTTGGCCGGGCCGGACGGAAGGGCGGGTGGGAGGCCCACGGGAGCTGGGGGCTCTGGCGGGGGGCTGGGACGGGGCCAGCCCTGGCCAGCCGCCCTCCTCCGGCACTTATCTCCCGACCTGCGACTGCCTGCGTCAGGGCCGGACATGCACCCTGGCGTCTCTCCATCCCCTCCCCTCCCCTCCCTGCTCCCAGCCCGGGGCCGCAGCACCCCTGCCAGGGCACTGAGCCCCAGGACCACCGCTCCCCCCCAGTCTGCCCAGAGGACCGGGGGGGGGGGGGGTTACCCCCATCACCTGCCTTGTGTGCTCAGCTCTGCTCCCAGGGCCCCTGGGGGTGTCTGCAGTCTCAAGGGTGAGAATGCAGCGCTGAGGGGAGAGCTAAAACCCAGGGCTGCCCACAGAGAGCCCATGCAGACACACCCCTGCCAGGCAGGTGCCCCACACAGGCTGCTCAGCTCCTGGTGTGTGTGTGTGTGTGTGTCCACGTGCCTCTCTGTGTGCAGCAGCAGCCCCTCAGGCTCTTACCCTGTTTGGGGGTTTGGGGGCTCATTGGGCTGTTACATCCATCTCTCTGAGGGAGCTGGGCTTCTGGGCGGACAAAGACAGCCCCTCAGGTGGAGGGATAAGTGGAAGGTGGGGGAGGTCAGGCGAGGGTGTTCCCATTCATGTCCCATGAACACACCCAGGCCCTCTTCCTTTAAAAAAAAAAAAATATATATATATATATATATATATATATATATATATATATATATATATATATATAGATTTTGTACAGAGAGGAAGGGAGAGAGAGAGAAACATCCATGAGAATCATCGATCAGCTGCCTCTTGCACACCCCCTACTGGGGATATGCCCGCAACCAAGGTACATGCCCTTGACCGGAATCGAACCCGGGACCCTTCAGTCCCCAAGCCGACGCTCTATCCATTGAGCCGAACCGGTCTCGGCTTAATATATTTTATTGATATTTTTTTTATAGAGAGGAAGTGAGAGGGATAGAGTTAGAAACATCGATCAGCCGCCTCCTGCATGCTCCCCACTGGGAATGTTCCCGCAACCAACGCACATGCCCTTGACCAGAATCAAACCTGGGACCCTTCAGTCCGCAGGCCGACGCTATTTACCAAAGCAAACCGATTAGGGCTACCCATGCCCTCTTAACACAGACCCCAGATGCTCTGGACCCCCGTTTGGGCGGGTGGAGGGGTGTGACTGAAACTGCAGATTCAGCTGAGCAGGACAAGAGGTGACTACCCTGCCCCTTGTTTGTGTCCTCTGGGAGGGACCCCCCCCCCCTCGACACGGCCTGGGACTTCAGGCCACTGCTCTGTGGGTGATGTGCGCAGAGACCAATGGTCAGTGGGTCAGGAGCCTCCTGGGCCACGCAGGACCTCTGGGCTGCATGCTCCCTGAGGCTTGGGGGTGGGAGACAAAGAGGGGTGCACTGTGAGGGAGGAAGGGAGCTCAGACATGCTCACACTCACTCACACAAACACACTCACGCTTGCACACTCACCTATTGACATCCGCAGACACTCCCCACACTCACGGAGGCCTCAGAGGGGAGCCCTCCACTGAGCCGTGGGCTGACAGTGAAGCCCCGTGGGGAGAGGGGAGAGGGGAGTGGCCTCCCCCTCACAGCTGTCTCCAGGGCGTGGGAAAGCGCTCTGCTCTTGACCTTGGGGCTTCTGGGGCCCAGGGTCGGCAGGAGGAAAGAAGGCCAGAGGCAGACAAACAGGGAGACAGAGGGTGGGGGGAGGAGGCCCTGGATTGCCCTAAGGCCTAGTTCTTCACTTAGTTTTCCTAGTCTTTTCCTGATTATAAAATTAATGTGGCTGGTTGTAAAGCACTTTTAAATTCCAGAGAGGTGTACTGTAAACACAACAGACAGGCAATCAACCAGCCCTCTGCCGCCCCTTTTCCCTTTGAAATTCAGGAGCCAAAAACTGTCCTTATTTTTTTGGGTGGGGGAGGGGGTTTGAGCAACTCCCCACCCACTGGGAGGAGGGGACCAGACCCACTGTCTGTGTTTCCCGAAGGCCAGGCGATGAAGGTAGATTCTGTGTCCAGGTCCCTCCCGCTGGTGCCCTGTGGAGCTGGTCAGATAGAGGAAGTGGCTGGGGGGGCGCGGGTGGTGATGGGAGACCCCGTGCAGGGTTCCGATCCCACCCCCCACTGGCTATGGACCCTGGAGAGGCCTCCTCAGGCTCTGAGCCCCTCACATGTGTGTCCTGCGGATCTGGGAGGGGAAGGATGGACTCAGGGACCACTTCCGCCCAGAGGGCTGAGGTCAGGAGGCCCCCAGCGGTGTGCCTGCACCCCTGCCCTACGCTAAGCTCAGTGCCAACACTGGGACCCAGGCCAGACTTCCCGGGAGCGGCGTGGAGCAGGAACACAGCCTCCTCCCCAAACAAGGAGGATGGTCCTGCTGGGCAGACGCGGAGGCCAGAGGCCAGACGAAGGACAGGGCTCCAGTTCACATGGGGCCTCCAGACAGACCCCCTACCCCTAGGAAGCCTGGCCTCTGTGCCCTGGTGGAGAGAGAGAGAGAGAGAGAGAGAGAGATGGAGACAGAGGCAGAGGGGGTGGGGAGGAGGATTGGATTGCCCCAAGGCCTGGTTCTTCAC